AAGATTCAAGGAGAAGAATACTGGGTATCAGAGAACCCTGTGTGTTAGGAATACAGACAACACTGGTGAATCCCATATTGAGTGAACCTTTCTCCAAGATGATACATGCTGCAAAATTCAGATCAAGCACTTCTGGTGAAAATTGCTGTCAAGAATCTTGATTTGGTCCTTTGGTCTTTCCATTGCCATGAATTGCCTAAGAGTCAAAGGCAACTTCCACTCTGTAAGACAGTGTGGAATGCAATATGAGCACCGAGTAAGAGGGAAGCAGAGGAGCTACAGTAAAGCTGTCCTAAGGACAAGAGAATCGGGCATTTCTCACATAATTGATTTCAGGGCCTTTGATGATCTGTGAAACACAGTTCTTACATACACATACTGTTTTCTCTTACGTTTTGATGAGCCACGTCAGCAGCACACATCTTACCACTTCCATTTCTTTCCCACCGGCCACCTTACTTGCCATCTCTGTGAACTGCAACAGGTGCCAGCTGTGTCCTATTCTCCACTTCTCTTCATACACATATTTTCTACAGCAGCTACAGCATGCACACCACCAGTCCTCTTTTGATGTAAAACATCCACCTTCCACATCTGTAACTAGGCTTCTTGGCTAGATTTTTGTCTTTTAATCTGAAAGCCTCCTGGGGCAAATGCTGTTTCTAGTTGCATTTGTCATTGCTCAATTACTTAAAAAACCCTGTAACTATGTAAATAAACTCTTTAAGCAATTAAAGATGTCCAGGCACAAACACAAGTGAAATGGTTGTGCCCCTGGCTCATGCAATACTTCATGTTAGCCATGAAAGAGGTTCTTGCAGCTTTCCCTGAGTGGTAGTCCCAAGTGCAAACTGCTAAGAGGCATGCAGCTGGAAGACATAGTCAAACTGCCAGAAAGTACATAAATAAGTGACCATGGATTAGATCCACCTCCTGGGACAACTGCCTGCATGCAAATATATCAAAAACCACTGCCAGCGCCACAGAGAAACACCATTAGATATGATACATGATTTAGAAGTGTTAAAATGCCCATAATAGGGACAAAAAGATACTCTCTGCAGTTGTGCTTTATGCCAATTAAACACAGAGTTCCCCAGCTGTAAACCCCCATTAGACTGGAACATAGGTAGGTATCACAAGGTAGGATGGTCCAAAAAGTACTCTCATATGGAAGATCCACCTGCAAGTGGTGCAACACTTAACAAGTTAGCATAGCTGCAATTTTATCTTACACCATTTACCATTTAGCTCGGAGAAACCTCTCTGTAGGTATACTGAAGATGAATATAACACTGTTCTATGTGCAAAAAAAATGAAAGCTATGAGTTATTAGACAAAAGCATATGATCACTTCAACGCATCTCTCAACTACACCACAAAAATCAGTCTCCTTTACTCAATTGTCCCCATGACACCATGGAAGACTGCCCTTGTGCAAAGCATTACAAGAACATCAGCTGTGGGCTTACTGAACCTTTAGTAATTCCACATTACTTCCTTGTGCATAAATGGGTTTTGCACAAGATGCAGGAGCAAGAAGTAATCCTTGGATTGCAGCTGCTCCTGCTCTCACACATTCTTAATTTAAGAGACTTCAGTCAGTAGAGCCACACAAATTGTGGAAAGGGAAATAAGAAAATATGGCTTCAGCCACAACAATTATCCTAAACATCTTCTCACTGTACAGTACAGCTGCTGCTACAAGAATCCAGTTTGCATTACTGGCCTGATACACTGGAATTCTTACCCTCATGCCCCCGTCCATTATCTCACGCACACTTGGTGTCAATTAGCCCCATAAGGAATGATACCTGTACTTCTGTTTCTCTCCATACATGCATATACATGGACAGATCTGTAAGTTTCACTCACTGTTTAGCAGTTCCGTGGTAAATATCCATACTGAGAAGTATTGAGCACTGAACATCACTGAATCATTAGAAAATGTCTCTCTCTCACACGGGACCCATAATCCCACTGGCCAGGTCACTGCTGCATGCAGTATATTACCTAGAACAGCTAGGTCAAAAATGTCTTTCTCTAACATCTCAAAGCTGCAAAGCTGTGATGGAAGAGGTCATCTTAACTTAAAAAAAAAAAAAAAAAGGCATTTTATAGCCTCTACCACTTCTGCCTCTCCCAGCTGATAAAAAAAAAAAAAAGTATTTTCTCAATCCACACTATCATAGGCACTACAGAATGAATGAAGGACACATTAAAACTGTATCTTTCTGCCTTTATGCAGAGTTAACATATGTATTCTAGTCAACAGTCATTCCTAGCACAAAGTATCACAGAATCATGGAATTGTCAGAGTTGGAAGGGACCTCTAGAGATCATCTGGTCCAACTCTCCTGCTAAAGCAGGAACACCAAGAGTACATTACTCAGGACTGCATCCAGGTGGGTTTTGGAAACCTCCAGAGAAGGGGACTCCACGACCTCCCTGGGCAGCCTGTTCCAGGGCTCTGTCACCCACACTGTAAAGTTTTTTCTCATATTTCAATGGAACTTTCTATGTTCCAGCTTGAGCCCGTTGCCCCTTGTCCTATCGCTGGAAACCACTGAAAAGAGTCCAGCTTCAACATCCTTCAACTCACCCTTTAGATACTTATAAATAAGGTCTCCCCTCGGTCTTCGCTTGTAGAGATTGTATCTCTGAGCTAGTGCTACCGGTGGCCACAATGAACCATTCTACAAGCAGCAGTTACACAACAGAGGGAACTTGTTGTTCATTACGTCTTGCAATCTCCCAATACTTGCAGAAATCCACTGACAGAAAAGTATTTGCATTTTTCAATGTTCAGTAAACTACTGACAGTCAGTTATATATGCTTTTAGCACTACTTTTCAATAGACTGATTTACATTCAGTACAGGACAGATTGCAGTTATCTGTTATCCTGCAAAAGTTGTAGCAATTTATGTTTTGTTATAGCTACACAATATTTCATATACTACTACCAACCATGATACCACTTGATATTATATTTGGAGGAAAGACATTCCAGATGCTTCATCATACCGATGAGCAATGTGTGTATTCTTTGGCAAGAACAGAACGTTAGTATTATCTTCCAAAGTAACAAAAGAGACCAGTGAGTATAGAAGTTTGTAAATTTGTCCTTTGGAACTCACCCAGTAAGGATGGGCAAATCTAAACTGCAAAATACTGACTGCTCTGCAGTGTTGCACTAAATTACGGCACATTCTCTTCTGGAGAGGAAAGTGAGGTATTTGCACTGTGTACTTCAGCTGATGATAATCCAGCACATCTAACTTCAGGAGCCCAAATTCCTTATTCTCAGGAAGTTAAATGAAGGAATCTTCTGATTAGGAAGTTAAGGAGAACATAAAGTTCCCAAACTTAACAGGCTGTACTTTTGGATGGTATTTCAGGATGGCTTAGACACTTAACACTGTACATTATGAATACCGTATTCCTCTTCAGTAAATACCCAATTTTAAAGTAACAGAAATATACAAAGTTGTACCTGTAGCTGCTGAAAATATCCTGCTGTTCTCGCAGCTCACTGATCAGTAAATCACTGCTCTACAAGAGGAATTAATCCTGAAGTTCAACATAATTATGATGGCTTTCTAATATACAGCTAACCAAAATTTCCTAAGTGTCTGCCACAAACAAGTGGACAGGTGAGTAATTTACAGCAGGTGAGCTAACACTTAAAACACAAAAACCAGTGTTGCACTTGCCTGCAAGCTGCAAAAATCCCAAAGGTGCACAGGTATGTCATTTCTGCTTTTATATGTATCACCTGGAATCTGAGGCCAGGTCTTCACAAGAAACTCAAAATTCTTAGCTGTCACTTCTTAATCGGGAACTGTCAATGTACTAGCAACTCAAAATGCACTTTAATTTTTCTTAAGACAGGCCACGACCAAGGTACTATCCACACCCTTACACTGAGCTACCTCACTAGCTCCTTTAGCATCTGAGAGATTACTGCAAACCTCAAAGATAGGCCTATACTTCAGTACACTACTTGGTGAGAAACAGAGAATCCGTCGCAACCCAGATCTCAGTGCTACATGTTTAGGTCTTTGTTAGCACAGTCCCCAAAACACGACAATTGAATCACTGTTACTTCTCTCTGGAATACGTTTCCCAAAGTCAAATATAAATACTGATTAAAAAAAAAAGTTATGATACACACAGGAAGAGGAATTGAGGGAGAAGATGCACTTGTACTTTAGTTTGATAAAAGTACTCAGTTTATAATCTGGTTTTCTTTTTGGAGTACATGTGCTCGTTTCTTATGACGAGTAACAACCAATGCATACCTCCTTGACACAAACTGTAGGTGGGAATTTTGTACTTTTTAACTCTCTTCATAATTATTTAGTAACTTTAAACAAACAAAGGAATGTAATCTGACAGAGTCAATAAGATTTATTTTTTTCCCCCTAATAATAATTTTATTCTTAACCTGCAAATATGGGAGAGTGGATGTTATGCTGAATGGCCTATAGGTAATCAGTGCTTTGAATAAATCTGCATACATTCACAAGCCTGACGCTAACAAACCCGCTAACAAATCCTGCTATTTTCAGTTGTGTCTTCCATTTGTAAAGCTCTACCCCTGTGTCTTTTCCAGAGTTAGCATGTTTACAGAGGAAGTGACACTTTGTATTGCATTTAAATGTAGACTCAAAGTCAGTAACACCCATTCAAAAGCAAGTTTATGGCCAAAAAGTGGAAAGCTTTCCTCTTAGAGATGCAATCCATCTAGATAAGAAAAATGGGAAATCTCCCTGCCGTTTGTTTACTCCTATGACAAAAACTAGAACCATGTGGTTGAATAGGCAGAATGGGAGGAAAATATTGGCTATTTTAAAGCTTTAAAAATGCTCTAAGATACTTTTAATTTCTCATATGCAACTTACAGCAGTGACTAACTGCACAGCCCTCAAGAGCAGTACAGCCTGCTAACCAAGTAACCACTACTCCAAGCTCCTTCCCCTAGCTTCTTTTACATACCCACAGGAGCACAGCTGACAAATGCACTTCTTCAAGGACGGACCGACATGCGACGGCACAGGCGATACAGGAGACATGTTTGCTAAGAAAACCAGTTATGGTTCAGGTCTTTCCCAGCAGATGCTCTACAGCAGAACAAAAAAAACCCAACAAAAACCAAAAAAAACCATAACTCTTCAGTAGCCTCTTCAGTAGCAATCCTTGGAGACAATTATATCAGAAGATGACCTAGGAACCTCCAGAAGCAGGGACAGAAGACATGGTATTGGTGCAGACTGCACTACATGTCCCAGCTGACCAGCTCCTTTCCTAGGGCAGCACACCCAGGTTCCTTTGATGGCACCCCAACCAGAGCTCTGCAGCCCTGCTTTCAAGCCTCTTCTGACCAGGGTGTGAAAGTTGTGACCGTTACTCGAGGAACCTTTGTGGAGTCACCAGCACCAAGTTCTAGAGCTCTGGTCTACAGGCAACAGGGCTGGGCCTGTTCCAGCCAGCCAATAGCTAAGGTCAGACTTTTCAATTCTCTTGCTGATCATTAGATCAACATGTAAGTGGGCTATTAAGCTAGCACTTTTCTCTTAGTTGTTAACATGTCAGCAGCCATGGTATAGCTCCCACAACCAGCCAAATAAATCTCTTTTCATAAAGTTTGTCAAATTCTGCTTTGTAAGGAAGATGTAAAATACAGGTGGAGGTAGGTTCTTGTTAAAACCTATTTGCAACTGGAAGAGAGGAGAAAGATACACCAGAAGAGAAAAACAAGTTTATTTAGTAATCCTTCGAAACTCTGTAAACATCTCAGGGTAGGAGTCAGTACTATTACAGTAACAAGTTTATCTGCTGGAACCTCAAATTTCAATTCCCATCTGTCATGGTTTGGCCTCAGACAGCAACAAAGGACCACGTGCAGCCACTGGCGCAGAACAGAGCCCCCATGGCCACGCGGCCGGGAGGGGAAAATGGAAATAAATAGGCAAAACTTGTGGGTTGAGACAAAGGCAATTTTAACAGAACAGGAAAGGGAGCAAGAAACAACAACAACAAGAACAGAGGGATACCGGTACCGGGGGTCACCTCCTCCCCCGCGCCCCCCGACTTCCTGTCACCCCCCTTCCCCGGCAGCTCCGGCTACCCCTGGGGCATGGCTCACATGGGATGCAATACTTGTGTCCCTCCTAGGTCCTGGGGAGAATTAACCCCATCCCCGCCAGACCCAGGACACCAGGAAAGGGTGGGCATAGCCCCAGGCAAAAGGGGTAGAAAGTAATAGAGGTGGGGGTGAGGGTTAGTGACACCAAGACACTTTCTCCAGTCTCAGGGCCTTTATTTTCTGTTAGAGCCTGATGAGGAGGCTGAGAGGGCTGGGAGGCCTTGAGGGCCGGCGCATGCCCCAGCTGCTGGCGCAGCGGTGGTTTTGGCAGCGGCTGGGGCGTTGTTCTAGTGCTGCCGGCGGGGTGGCCTCTTCTTGGCTGGAGAAGAGGCCTCGTGGCTGCTGGACCTTCTCTTTGGGGGACGCCGTGGCTCCCCCCGGGAGCCTTCTGTGGCGCCGCTGGAAGTGGATGGAGCTTCCACGGCGTCCTGGGGCTCCTCTTGGTGCGCGGGGAGAGGAGCTGGGGCAGAGGGAGAGCTGCCGGCAGCCCCGCGAGGGGCAGCTGCTGAGGTGCTGGGGAGCTCCTCCCTGTTGGCTCCTTGCAGGCTGTGGGAGGGGGCCGGGCCAGCTGTAGAAGAGCCTCCTCGGGAGGCAGCAGGTCTGGAGGAAGCCGCAGGGCTCTCCCGCCGCTCCTGGGCAGCATGGCCGTCCTCCAGGCCCAGCAGACGGCGGACCTCCCCGCTGCACTCTTGCACAGCAGCTTCGATCAGGCGGCGGACAAATGTTGCCGTGCGGCTTTGGAGGCAGGCCCTCAGCAGCTGGACCAGCATCTCTTCATCCAGCCCAAAAAGCTCCAGGAGGGGCATGGTGAGGGCCTCCACTACCTCTGCCCGTGAGTGACGGCTCCCAAACATGCGTCGCAGCTCCTGGCGCATCCAGGTCCGAACGGTCTGGAGGAGAGCAGGGTGGTCACGGAAAAGGATGGCCCAGGTGCTGGGCTGGAGGCCGCCCAGATCAGGCGGTGTGATGACATGTTCTTCAAAGTCGTCGTCTGCCTCCACCGAGTGCAGGATGGAGGTGATCCTCCTCTTGCAGAGGGGGCACTCGGGCTTGCTCTGAGCCCAGCGCAGGATGCACCGGTAGCAGAACCGGTGCAGGCATGGCATCAAGTGGCTGGGCTCCTCGCAGCTGTCCAGGCAGATGGGACAGCGGTCGTCCAGCTCGGTGGCCATGCTCTCCGTGCGCTGTGCTGGGCTGCGGGGAGCTGGGGATGTTGAGCCGCTCCCTCTGGCTGGCGCTGCAGCAGGCGCTGTCACGCTAGAGAAGGAAAAGAGGCCACAATGGTTGGTTGGCCCTGAGGAGGGCTGGAAGAAATGCCCAGGTCCCTCAGGAAGGAAGCCCTGCCGGCTGCCCAGGGGGAGCTTTCCCCTCCCAGCTCACCTCCGCTGCTGCGAGCGTGCCTCCTGGTTGCCCCGGCTGCCTGAACCTGGCAGGGCCAGGGAAGATCCTTCCACAGTGGCTCTGGGGTCAGCTATGGAGAGCTGCAACGAGCAACTCCCCAGGCACACCACCAGCACCAAGGCTTCGCTCAGCACTCCAGCCTCGACAACTTGCTCAGCTGGAATGTGGTCACGAGCCGGTTGGCTGGGACTCGGTGCCCGCATATAAGCAGCGAGGGGCACCTGGTCACAATCCCTCCCCAGCTGACTTCACAGCCCAGCTCTCAGTGACATCAGAACCCATCCCTCAGGGACGTCATGGCAGCGGGCCATGGTGCTCGCTCCAACAGCCACAGCCCCAGTGGCCACAGTGAAGGCGTCTGTGGTTACGTCAGCGCCACTGACCACTCCACCCACCCATCCATCCATCCATCCATCCATCCATCCATCCCCCCATCTCCTGTCTTGCTCTCGGCATTGGTGTTTCATGGCAGTCACCGAGGCCTTGCCCGTGTCTTCTCGGGGCCATGAAAGGTCACTCCGGCTGTCGGAGTCATCTCCAGGCACATGTGGCAAGAGGATTCATTGGATAACCCCTCGTGCCTCCCTGGGAGGCTGCAGGACAAAGCTGCCCAAGCTCTCCCCACACCCCAGCACTGCTGGCCAGCCCTCTGCGCTCCCCTGATTCCTCCCACGGCAGGGGAGGTGAAGACGGGGCATACGCAGGACATGGTTTGCTCTCATGGGTTCTCTCCCGTCTTTCTCCCTGAGCCAGAGGGCACAAGGGTGATCCCCTCCACTCAGTGCCCGTCAGGCCCCATCCAGGCACTGCATCCCATTGGGGGTCCCTCTCTTGCTTGCCTGCTTTCCTTCTTTGTTGAAACTAAAGGAAAAACATGGAAGACGTTGTCACATTGATTTACAATAGAAGTACAGAGAACTTGGAATAGATATTACACATCTTATTTTTTGCTGTTGTGGACCTAAAGGAGTATATTTGGAGATGGGAGGGAGAAGTGATATTTTGCTACCTTTTATCAATAACTGTACATTTAAATGCATTAAGAAGTTGTGCGCTGTCTAATGTGGGCAGTGGCCTTGCTGAAACCCGTAAGGCCTATTTTGTGAGTGACGCGAAGCCACGTTGAACGCAGGAAAGCAACCTTATCTCTGGCAGAATATCCTCCTCTTCTTTGCTTGTACCCCATTAGAATGTGTACGTTCTCCCACATTTTCTCTGAGAACTTAAATGTATTAATAGAGAGAATAGAAGGATGTGAGAGGTAATCACTCAAAAGCAGGTACCATGGGTACATCATAGCAGAGCTGGCTGGTCTCTGCTCTGCCCCGACAGGATTCCCAGTTCTTTTCACACAGAACTGCCACATACAGGAATTAAATGAATTGGAATGGAATGGAATGGAATGGAATGGAATGGAATGGAATGGAATGGAATGGAATGGAATAGAATACAATAAAATACAATACAATACAAACCGATGGGACAGGATAGGATGGGATAGGATAGGATGGGATAGGGTAGGATGGGATGGGATGGCATGGGATAGGATAGGACAGTATAGAATAGAATGGAGTAGAACAGTTCCAGTTGGAAGGGACCTAGAAGGATCATCTAGTCCAACTGGCTGCCCACTCCAGGGCAGGAGATAAGGCCTATTCTTAAGGGCATTGTCCAAATACCTCTTTTTAAGGCATAGACAGCCTTGGGGCACCTCTCCAAGAAGCTGGTTCCATTGTTTGTCTACTCAGGTGTCGTGGTTTGGCCTCAGACAGCAACAAAGGACCATGTGCAGCCACTCGCGCAGAACAGAGCCCCCACGGCCACGCAGCCGGGAGGGGAAAATGGGAATAAAAAGGCAAAACTCGTGGGTTGAGACAAAGGCAATTTTAACAGAACAGGAAAGGGAGCAAGAAACAACAACAACAAGAACAGAGGGATATACAACCGCGATGACGGTACCGGGGGTCACCTCCTCCTCCGCGCCCCCCAACTTCCTGTCACCCCCCTTCCCCGGCAGCTCCGGCTACCCCTGGGGCATGGCTCACATGGGATGGAATACTTGTGTCCCTGCTAGGTCCTGGGGGGAATTAACCCCATCCCTGCCAGACCCAGGACATCATCCACCCATTATTCCATACCATTCAGGCCATGCCCAGATCCTAGTTTCCAGTTGTATACTGTCAGTTTCTCCTGACATACATATATACATATATATATATACACATACAGGTATAATGTCCTTAGTCTATGGGCCATCACTCTAAAATGTCCGTTGAGTTCATTTAACCCATGAGTTCAAGCTCCATCTGTTAGAACGGTCTCTCAGGGCATGCTTTTGCCACTCATTCCCAGTTAGGCTCACTTCAGCTTCCAGTACAGTCAACTCTTGGGATCCCCCTGTCACTCCAGAAATAGAAATGGGTTCTGTCCCTCTATAGCTTGATGGTATTATGGTACACTGTGCACCCGTGTCCACTAAAGCTCTATACTCCTGTGGCTCTGACGTGCCAGGCCATCAAATCCACACTGTCCAATAAATCCGGTTGTCCCTTTCCCCAACCTGGCTGGAGGCAGGGCCCCTCCAATACTGGTCATAGTATCCGTTATTTGCTTCTTGCAGAAATGATTTGGAGGTTCCTTCAAGGGGATCAGAAGTAGGCTCAGGCCTTCTATACTGTCTGGGGAACTGCACATTTGAAACTGGGGCAGCACTTTTCCTGGAGGGATCCCCTTTTGTGATTGTTCTTCCTTGCAGTTCCTGTACCCATGCCCGTAGGACTGAAGTAGGTTGTCCATCCCACTTCCTCATGTCCTCTCCATGGTCACGCAGGCAGAACCACAGGGTGCTTCGTGGTGTGTAACCCCTGTGTTCTCTATCTTGAGTGGAGAAGCGTCTGCTTCTAACAGCTGAGATACTGGCTCGTACAGGTGAGGAGGTCATATTCTCTTCCAGTTGCTGGACCTTCCGGGACAGTTTCTCCACAGCTGAGACAAGGGGAGAAGAGAGACTTTCTTCATATTGCCGAAGTCAGGCAGCCACCTCATCCACCGTTGGTCCCTCTTCGCCTCTCCATTCCATCACTGCCAATGAGTTGGCATATGATGATGGGGCGCTCCGTACAAACTTACGCCACATGGACCTTGTGCACTGGACCTCATCATGAACTGTGGGTGACTGTGCATTGTCCAGGTCACAATAAATCATCTCCCGCATGGCTAGTTCTCTCAGGTACTGGATACCTCTCTCCATGGTGGTCGCTTGGATGGCATACAACATCTTCACTGAAGGGGTACCTTTCCCTCACACCTGATAGGAGTCGCCTCCACAGGCTGAGGACCTGTGTCTTCTTCCCAATGGCCTTGTCAATGCCCCCCTCTCTAGACAGAGATCCCAGCTGCCTGGCTTCCCTAGCCTCCAATTCCAAGCTACTGGCTCCATTATCCCAGCACCGGAGCAGCCAGGTGACAATGTGCTCGCCTGGAAGTCGGCCAAAATCTTTCCGCATGTCCCGCAGCTCACTCAGGGACAGGGATCGAGTGATTATCTCTGATTCTGCCTCTTCCTCTTGTTCTCGTGATGACCCTGCTTCATTGTCATCCCTCACTAAGCGAACTGATTTCTTGTTGCATTTCTTCTTCTGGATAGAGGCGACTGATACGGGCACAGGCTGGTTTTCTGGTTCAGTTGCAGTGACTGCCACTGGGGTTACAGCAGCCACAGCACCTGCTGCAGGGGTTGGAGCAGCCACAGTGTCTGTCGCAGGGGTTGGAGCAGCCACAGTGTCTACTGCAGGGGTTGGAGCAGCCACAGTGTCTACTGCAGGGGTTGGAGCAGCCACAGCACTGGTTGCAGGGGTTGGAGCAGCCACAGTGTCTACCACAGGGGTTGGAGCAGCCGCAGCGTTGGTTGCAGGGGTTGGGGCAGCCGCAGTGTCTGTCGCAGGGGTTGGAGCAGCCGCAGCATTGGTCGCAGGGGTTGGAACAGCAGCAGCATCTGTTGGCCTGGTTTCCATCTCTTCCCCCTGAGGATGCTGCACAACATTGAGCAATGCTTGGCCGATGCTGGCCAAGGCCCAGCACAATGCAGTGAGCTGTGCCTCTCTGGAATAGCCACAGCATTTTCCTTTCAAATATTCTATCACTTTATCAGGGTCCTGTAATTGTTCAGTGGTGAAATCCCAGACCATTGGAGGTGAAAAACTCTCTAGATACCTGCCCATGTTCTCCCACATGCCATGCCACCCATGATTCTCCAGCCTCGGGGCAGATCTCTTGGTGGTAGTCTTAAATAGTTGCTTAACCCTAAACAAAAACTGAAACACATTCAGGAGACCTAGCAGTAAGAACAAACTGGTTTGCATGTCCCAAGGGTATTCAAAATTCTCAAAAACTGGCATAGCCAGCACAAAAGAGAAAAAGGAGGTGAAAGAGCTGGGGAAAATATCCCCCCCTGCTTCCCTCATAGATTCAGTGTGTTTATCAATAAATTCCCCGAGATATGGGCAGGAAAGCAGTGCTGAATAAACGCCCCAACAAAACCATCTGAACAGAGATGCCATCATATCATAAGTTGATATAGCACAGGACAGCAAAATTATAACCCTGATCCCTCTCCCAGAAGTGATAAACATCATCACGGGCAGTACATAGAACATGTAAGAGTTCACATAACACAGCCATGAAAACAAACGAAGCAACATTGTGCCCAGCAACTAATACAATGAACACAGGTACAAAATTCCTTTTAACACGCTCTGGTCAGATCTGTCGTTATCTCAACCCTCCGAGTGTCCCACGTTGGGCGCCAAAAAGGACTGTCGTGGTTTGGCCTCAGACAGCAACAAAGGACCACGTGCAGCCGCTCGCACACAACAGAGCCCCCACGGCCACGCGGCCGGGAGGGGAAGATGGGAATAAAAAGGCAAAACTCATGGGTTGAGACAAGGGCAATTTTAACAGAACAGGAAAGGGAGCAAGAAACAATAACAACAAGAACAGAGGGATATACAACCGCGATGACGGTACCATGAACAGAGGGATATACAACCGCGATGACGGTACCATCACTCGCTGACCACACCCTGGATGCCCCCAACCGCTCTCCTCCCCCGGGGGTCACCTCCTGTCCCAACCCTTCCCCGGCAGCTCCAGCTACCCCTGGGGCATGGCTCACATGGGATGCAATACTTGTGTCCCTGCTAGGTCCTGGGGAGAATTAACCCCATCCCCGCCAGACCCAGGACACCATCCCACAAGCTCTTATTATCAGTTACTTACATCACAATGTCATAGATTTATATCAACTATTTGCAAATAAAGTGGCATTAACACTACCATAAGTCATAAATTTTTTACAACTTCAGTTCAATATACATTTATTTAGTAACATGACTATAATGACAGGCATTTCAGTAAAAGTTTATGTAAAGCAGCCTCTATCAACAGGTAAAGCTAATGGCACTTACTGATCAGAAGTCTCAATAAGAGAAAAGAATTCAATGTATGTAGAGCACCAAGTAAATTCTGGGTGGGTTCTTTTGCAGGAGGTGGTGGTGGTGGTAAAATTAGAGGGAAGACAGAGACACCAAAGATTTCACTCTTTCTCCATTGAAACTTTAATTTTCCATTTTTTAGGATTATATCACCTACTCAACATCTGCTATTTTTCAAAATATGCTTCAAAAGGAATATATATTTCTGAACATAAATGATGGGCTGTACATAGAATGCTACTATGGATGACATGAAATTGGAAGAACAAGCAGGTAACTGAAACTTCTAGACAAGGAGCCCAGAATATAGTCTCTGCAAAAAAACAGGAAGGAGTGCAACTTTTCTATCTAGGCAGTGCTTAGAGAGCATGCTACATGCCTACATGAACGAAAATTGCACTGCTACTATGGTTATGCTTCTGCTTTAGGAATTCTATCCTGATGATGGTTCCTTTGTGCCCAGCTCCTCATTCAATTGCTCTTTATCTGGAAGAAAAAGTGTATTAGTCAGTATTCTATAATATTCAATTAATTGCCAGAAATATTGCTCCCAAACTGTTTGGATTCTATTTTAAAAAGCATGTATGAAACTGTACTTCTAATTTTGAGAACTGTTCCAAGTAAGGTAAAATCATCTGCCATCTGTACAGCCACAATTTTCAGCAACAGCTTAATTGCAGCAAGCCTTTGCATAATGTATAAATCTCACTACTTCTTGGGACTACCTTGTTGTGTTAAATTCCTAGTACTCCAATAAATACCACCTGTTTTAGTGAATGTCTTCTGTGCAACCATTATTGACTCATTTTTATTAATGCATTTCAAAGACTGACCTCAGACCTAACTAAACATTGCACTACTGGTTAAACAAACTTGACAGTTTTGTTGGAAAAAGGGTGAGGGAGCAGGCAGGCTAGAATGCAGGATATTTCATAATAAAAGAATATTAAGTATTACAGACTATGAACACATGACTGACCTCACAAAAGTTCCAATTATCTGCAGCACAACTCTAAATAGCCAAATCTGTTCAGAGTAAACACACTATTTCAAACTAACTTTGTGAATTCTCAAAATTTAATTTTGGATTACTCCTTTCTAATGCATCCTAAGATACTTTTTTTTTTTTTTAAATAGATGCAGATTACCTCAAAGTCAGATAAGCACTGTTCCTCCTACTTGCAAGATGTTGATACAAGCAAAGGAAGCATGTTTCCTTTGCTTTTTTATATCTCATCTTTCTTAGGGAATAAGCATACAAATAACCCATCTCCCTATAATTCCACAGCAGGATTCAGCTATTCAGAGTAGGTTATTTATGGTAGTACATTAAGTGGCAGAATGGACAAAACCTTGTTGCTAAAATACATGGACACTTACCTTTCAATTTAGTTATTAAGCTTAATGGGACATTGTGTATCATTGATGTCATTTCCTCCAGACGTTTACAAGATGCCACCAAAGATGACAGGGAATATTTTCTTTCATTAACAGATGTTGGTAATGGTGTCCTGCTAAATGCTTCATCCAAGGTGACTACAGGACTGAACAATTCATCTCTTTTTTCTGGTTTAAGATTTTTGTCTGATGTACAACTTACAGATTCACCTCCATTATGTGCTTGATGGAACTCCTCTTCACTTGTAGATGCAGTCCTTTTCAGTGCTTTATGTGGGCTGAACAGGGACTGTAGATCTAGCTTTGATTCTTGAATATCTCCCTTATTTTTTGAACCAGCTGATATATCTGTGATTGCTACATCAAAATCAGAGTCTGAGATTGCACATTCAGTAGTATTCATGCTATCAAGTTCTTCTGGAAATACCTCATCCAATATCCATGATATGGAAGCTTTACAACTGACAGAACTTAACAATGGAGATACATTCTGATTCAGCATCCTACTCATTGAAGAATCCTGGAAGTAGTCTGAAGGTAGAACGGTTATTTTACTATTGTTTTCTGAACAACTGCCTAGAGTATTCACACTCCTCTTCACACATGAAGAACTCGGTTCTGGATCTTCTCCGGAATTTACATTCTGTACAGAAATGTTTTGAATACATTTTAATTCCTGTTCTCCAGTTCTCTCACTCTCTTGCATTCCAGATGTTTCTAAAATTGGAGATTCAATGATGTGACTTATCCTCGTCTGCTTTTGAGACTTAACTTCTGTAGAACATAATGGGGATGTCATTTCTGACAAGAAAAGATCACAGTCAGTTACAGGAGATGCAGGGGTAGAGGACATAAGTCTAGAATCTGCCACCACCTGCATTATAGGTCCAGCATCCACTGGAGCTTCTTCTCTCATTACTTTAGCTGAGGGCAGCTCTATGTCTGAGTTGTCAGGTTGAACAGCTTTTCTCCATGAGCTTCTAATTTCAGTAACTAAATGGAACAAACAAAGGAAAAAAATTGAACACTTTCATATTCTCATCCTGTTTTTCTACTGTCCGTAACATAAGCAATCCAAGAAGGAAGACGTATAGCTGCTTTACATTACTTATGCTTAGTCTTCCTCCTCAACACAAACAGGTGTTTTTTTCCTGTGTAGAATCCTATGTTAAACCAAATTCACAGTATTCACATCCTGTTAAACCTACATCTTATTAGGCCTACTTTGCTGTATTACAGAGTGAGCTATTAGGATAACTTGCACATTCACTGAAATAACTATCTTTTTCTTCCTGTGTCACATGTGATTAGCTCATTGAAATTGTACATTTCTAATGAATGAGTATTATAAAAATGGAGTTTTATACTTACGCAGATTTTCTGGAGTTCGGGGAATTTGTTTCTTTGTTAAAAATGGGTTAAAATCCATTGAGCTTAAGAGATCTTCTAATGCCATTCCGTTGTCTTCATCACTCTGAGGTGACTCAGACACCACTGTCCTTGCAATCTGTAGGATGTTAAGATAGTAAATTACAAGAAAGCAAAATTATAACCTCTTTATTTCTGTCAGTTATGGCTTGAAATAAATCCCATTATCAAAGTGATCTGAAGAGTTTGGAATCTCATAACTCTTCTTCTGCCTTTTATGACTTAAGGCTCGCAATGGTAACAGTCTTGTACAAACACAAAATGAAGACAGGGGACTGAAATTAGAACTCTAAGTTTCCTCATCATGTAAGAATCCATCTTTAAAATAAGATTGAATATATTTGAGACATTAGTCAAGAATTGCATAAGCATGAAGACTAAAGCTCCATTTACATAAGTACAACATTTTAGCAGATTGAAAGTAACCACACCATTTCAGTGAAAGATGCAGTTTGCTTTCCAAATCAAGCTGTGGCACATTTTACAGTAACTCTTGTGGAGTAACTCCTTCAATCTTAAATAAAATACCTAAACAAAGAAATATTTAAAATCCTGCTTAGAATTCCCAAGCTCCTGTTAAATACGTAACCTATTACCTTCAGAAATAAAAAGGACTGCTGAATTCTTAATACATGCAGTGTTTCACAGATTAAACTATAAGAGGCGATACCATGTAGTAGAATCATACCATGATTCTACTGAAAGCGCTATTAACTTCATAATTATTTATAAGTATGATAACTGCACAAACTCCATGCTTCCATGGTGTACTTAATTGGGCAGTCACCCCTGAAACTTAAGGACACTGATTACTATTTAGCAGAAAAATTAACTTTTGACATAAGTGGTTCCAAGAGGCATTTTATGATTTAATTAGTAATTTGTTCTCTGAACTTAATGACCATTTACTTAAAACACAAACAGAAGATTTAAAAATAACTTTTCCTAACCTCCTCTGCCAGTTCATCGCTGCTTTTCTTAAGAGGGTCCTCTTTTTTGACAGGAGACTCTGTCTGCACAATGTGATCACCTGTATTCTCTGGCACTTCTGAAATGGCACAGTCATCCTTTCCTTTTTTTAAGATCTTTGGAGGTACAGGCATTTTCTCCCCCTTGCAAGCCTCAATAGGCAAGTTCTAGAGGAATACACAACACTTATTAGAAGTTTTAAACTCAATTGTCATAATACTGCTCAACGAATTCTGAACAGCAATGGCCCTAGCATTTAATCAATAAAAATATTTCAGTCTTAAACTCTAACTAAACACAAAATATTTTTACAGTCATATTTATAGTAGGACATAAGTAGTGGCTAGGAGAAAGGTGTTGCACAGAACACAGATGACTCCTCTACAATTGCCTTCGACACACTACAGTGAACAATTGTGCAACGGACAACTGTAGATCCAAGTTGCTTTTAGGCCACATTATAACCCTTAGGTTCACACACAACTTAAAGAAACATCGAAGTCTGACCACTACTGAAACCAAAAAAATTGCTTGGCCAGCAGGGACTCAGTGACACGCTGTATGTTGTACTGGAAATGAGGTGCAAGTGCACCAACTTCCTACTGTCCTTCCCTAAAACTTATTGAAGTCCCTGGCAGTTAGCTTTTACACTTCTACAGGACTGATACAAATGTGCAAAAATACTACTTTAAAAAAAAAACAAAACCAACCCCTCAACACAAACAAAAAATCGCAACCCTCCCCCCTAAATACTAAGTCTAGGCTTCAATCAATCTAAAAAGCAAATATCCTAAGTTTAGCTTCTTTGACAGGCAGGAAATTACTGAAAAATAACCTTTTCAATTAATGCGTCTCCGTTTTCACATGCTTTTGACAACTCTGAAGGTACTGAAGAGATCCTGAGGGGGATGGGGTAGAGGGGGTAAAAAAAAAAAAAAGACAAGGAGGTTTTAGAGACAAATTAAAGAAGTGGCACGCAAGTCTTACAAGGCCATTATACATTGTTTGCCCCGTATCTGTCCGTTACGATTTCCCTCAATTCGTCCCGGTCATCAGAAGGCAGTTTTAATATAGGGAGAACATGTGACAATTAGAGCAGAGTTATCCCTAATTGTGTATCAGCCTCCCAAAAATCATACATTACGAAACATTTCCCTTGATTACCGAACAGAAAAAGGTATTTTGTGATATATTTTGTAAACAAGCCTTCTGTATTCTGCAACCAAAGATAACTGGAAAGTCCTCTAACAGACTTGATAATGTTCTTTTCCCTAGATACTCTTCTTCTGAATCGCCTCTGGCATCCAGAGTCTTGTTCCTGTATGAACTTACTGATATTAAAATTAAAGGTGATTATTAAATAATTACCTCAAGTTTAATAAAAACTTAAGTCCTATCACTTCTGATGAGAGCAGCTCTGATTGCATAGGTCTCTAAAATGTAAGGTACAGTCCTTGCTTGTTAGGAAGAACACACCTTAAAACATTAATACTTGCTGTTACCTATCTTTAGAATCAGAAGCAGACAAAAATCCATGCTGTATGAAGTCACTCAGAGAAATCCAGGTTTTAATTGTTAACTACTTGGACAACCTTTGAGACTTACATGCAACTACATCTACTGATGCTTAAATATAGGACAGCCTTCCTTTGCTAACTCCCTTTCTCTCCTAGTAGGCAACTTTCAATTATCCAGAGAGGCCATATTATGAAATGCAGTATTATTCGAAAGGTCATGAAACCTTCCTGGACTAAGTAAAAGACAAACAGCCCAAAACTTTATAGAATACCATTGTTTTGTGCTTTGTCCTTTGCTGGAACTGTAGTAAGAGAAGCCATGGAACAAAGTGATTTTAGAAGATTGATGAGAAAAAGCCTTGTTGAGAAGGTTAAGCACAGTAATTCTGATTGGGAGTCAGGGTCTTTTTTGTTTGATTTGGGTTGTTGTTTGGATTTTTTAAACACAAAAGAAGGGCTCCTGTAAATGTCTGTTCTTTCATTCTCAGGCTGTACTGAATATATATGCCTGCCTCAACCCAGTCTGAGAAACACAATTCTGTTTTTACCACGCAGCTCTTAAAACTTTAAAGAATATACTTCTAAAAGCCTTACAACCTGGCTGCTGCATATCCTGTCCAGCACAACCAGTCGATATATCAGTCACCAGTTACTTTATGACTACCTTGCTAAATCAGGTACATGTGAGGATGTAAGGAGTGGGCTACTAAAATATTCCACTAAGGATCAAGACATAGATATATTAAACTCCAACAAGTAAATGTGCATTTTTCCACTGCTTTTTTTATCAATTTCTCATTGACATCATACCATCTTGATGCTGTTGTTGCCGTATCCATCACAGATGATGAGGCACCAGAAACTTTCTCATTACATACTTCATGAAAGGACTTAATATCTAGAAAACCAAGTAAAGAGATTTATTATTGCTTCTTTTTTTTTTTTTTCCCACTCAGGCCTCCCAGGTGGCCCAAGTGACTCAGATCACTTCCACAGACTATTCACATGATATACTTTACGAACACTTCAAGAAAAACAAATTAATACAGAAGCAGGACAGTGAAATCAATCCTTTTGCTCAGGTACCACATGCAGCTGTAGACAGAACCAAATTGTGTTACTCCTGACAATGTGTTTGAGAAGCATGATTTTATCTGCTGCCTTGCATGTATCAACCAAACGAGTTCCCGATGGTCAACGTACAGAGCGGTCATTGCGAGTATCTGCCAGGGAGCACAGGAGCCTCACACAGACTCCACAGACCCTCGGCAGCTGTTTCTCGACAAGTCGAACTTCCAGAAGCTGCTGAACTTTTGTTAATGCAATTAGCAGTGGAAAACGCTAACACTCAATGCCACAGGGCTTTAGACCCTATACGTGGCAAGGCTACCACTCTGAATGATCTTATTAGAGCGTGCCAGCACGTAGAAACGGAAGACCACAAATTTGAGATGTTAGCGACGGCACTGGCTCAAAACCTAACTGTGGCTCGTGCTGCTGTTAAATGTTTTTTGTGTGGGCAGGACGGACACATGAGAAAGGATTGCCCAAAACAGAGGCGAGAGAGGGATAAAACTCCAAATGAATTGTGTCCTCGGTGTCAGAAAGGATTGGCACCAATCCGTGGAGCAGGAGGTTTCGGGAGTACAGGATCTCCACAGATTTATCAGACTCAGCAAATCACGACTCAACAACCCTTTCTTACTTGTCGGCTTAATGGTAAAGAATTGTCAGGGTTGATAGACACTGGAGCAGACTTTTCTATCATCCGTAAGTTTGACTGGCTGTCTGAATGGCCTGTTGTGGACACAGCTGCTTTAATCACTGGGGTTGGAGGAGCTCAGCTTCCTCAACAATTGTTACAAACTCTGCTGGTTGAAGGACCGGATGGGAAAATAGCTAAATTGAAAGCATACATTCTACCAGTACCCTGTACATTATGGGGCCGTGACTTCCTTTCACAATGGGGTTTGCTTTTAACAACACATTTTGGATTGGGGTCGCTGATGTCCAGCCACGGCTCAAACTTACATGGTTAACTAATTCCCCCGTTTGGGTTGATCAGTGGCCCCTCAGAGGTGAGCGGCTGGAGCGAGCAGGAGAGCTGGTTGCGGAACAATTGCAGTTAGGACATACTGTCCCTTCTACAAGCCCATGGAATACCCCAATTTTTGTAATACCTAAGAAATCAGGCAAATGGAGATTATTGCAGGATTTACGGGCAGTTAATGATGTTATAGCTCCAACGGGTGCACTGCAATTGGGAATGCCAAATCCTGCAATGATACTACACTCTTGAAATCTGCTTGTCATGGATTTAAAGGATTGTTTCTTTACAATTTTTCTGCACCCTGATGATTGTCCACATTTTGCTTTTTCTGTACCTTCTATTAACAATGAAGGGCCTATGGAGAGATATCATTGGGTAGTGCTTCCTCAAGGCATGAAAAATAGTCCAACTATTTGTCAATTTGTTGTTTATTCTGCTTTGAAACCAGTGAAAACACAATTTCCTACTCTGTTGTTTTATCATTACATGGATGATATTTTAATTGCTGCACCTGATGAGTTTCCCAAATTGTGTTACTCCTGACAATGTGTTTGAGAAGCATGATTTTATCTGCTGCCTTGCATGTATCAACCAAACGAGTTCCCGATGGTCAACGTACAGAGCGGTCATTGCGAGTATCTGCCAGGGAGCACAGGAGCCTCACAGACTCCACAGACCCTTGGCAGCTGTTTCTCGACAAGTCGAACTTCCAGAAGCTGCTGAACTTTTGTTAATGCAATTAGCAGTGGAAAACGCTAACACTCAATGCCACAGGGCTTTAGACCCTATACGTGGCAAGGCTACCACTCTGAATGATCTTATTAGAGCGTGCCAGCACGTAGAAACGGAAGACCACAAATTTGAGATGTTAGCGACGGCACTGGCTCAAAACCTAACTGTGGCTCGTGCTGCTGTTAAATGTTTTTTGTGTGGGCAGGACGGACACATGAGAAAGGATTGCCCAAAACAGAGGCGAGAGAGGGATAAAACTCCAAATGAATTGTGTCCTCGGTGTCAGAAAGGATTGGCACCAATCCGTGGAGCAGGAGGTTTCGGGAGTACAGGATCTCCACAGATTTATCAGACTCAGCAAATCACGACTCAACAACCCTTTCTTACTTGTCGGCTTAATGGTAAAGAATTGTCAGGGTTGATAGACACTGGAGCAGACTTTTCTATCATCCGTAAGTTTGACTGGCTGTCTGAATGGCCTGTTGTGGACACAGCTGCTTTAATCACTGGGGTTGGAGGAGCTCAGCTTCCTCAACAATTGTTACAAACTCTGCTGGTTGAAGGACCGGATGGGAAAATAGCTAAATTGAAAGCATACATTCTACCAGTACCCTGTACATTATGGGGCCGTGACTTCCTTTCACAATGGGGTTTGCTTTTAACAACACATTTTGGATTGGGGTCGCTGATGTCCAGCCACGGCTCAAACTTACATGGTTAACTAATTCCCCCGTTTGGGTTGATCAGTGGCCCCTCAGAGGTGAGCGGCTGGAGCGAGCAGGAGAGCTGGTTGCGGAACAATTGCAGTTAGGACATACTGTCCCTTCTACAAGCCCATGGAATACCCCAATTTTTGTAATACCTAAGAAATCAGGCAAATGGAGATTATTGCAGGATTTACGGGCAGTTAATGATGTTATAGCTCCAACGGGTGCACTGCAATTGGGAATGCCAAATCCTGCAATGATACTACACTCTTGAAATCTGCTTGTCATGGATTCAAAGGATTGTTTCTTTACAATTTTTCTGCACCCTGATGATTGTCCACATTTTGCTTTTTCTGTACCTTCTATTAACAATGAAGGGCCTATGGAGAGATATCATTGGGTAGTGCTTCCTCAGTGCATGAAAAAATAGTCCAACAATTTGTCAATTTGTTACTTATTCTGCTTTGAAACCAGTGAAAACACAATTTCCTACTCTGTTGTTTTATCATTACATGGATGATATTTTAGTTGCTGCACCTGATGAGTTTCAGTTACAATCTGCGTTTGCTGAGGTGAAATTGGCCATGGAACGCTACGGACTTCGGATAGCACCTGAGAAGGTACAGTCTATACCACCTTGGAGATATCTGAGATGGCAAATCTTAGATAAAACAATTATTCCACAACCTATACGAATTGTCAATACAGTAACTACATTGAATGAGCTACAAAAATTATTTGGAACCATTAATTGGCTAAGACCTTTATTGGGGATTTCAACAGAATTATTATCTCCCCTGTTTGACCTTTTGAAAGGCGATTCTGATTTGTCATCCCCAAGATCAATTACTGGGGAGGCTTCGCAAGCATTGCAGATTGTGGAAAAAGGGTTAATACAGCCTTTGCATCCAGGTATGATTTAAGTTTACCTGTTTGTTTATTTTTAATCCCTAATTCTTTTCAGCCATATGCGCTTATTGGTCAATGGGATGAAAAGGAACAACAGCTGTTAGTACTAGAATGGATTTTCCTTCCTCATTCATTTTCAAGAACTGTAACTACTTTGCTTGAGATGTTTGTGAGACTAATTTCTACAGGTCGACTGCGATGCCAGCAACTTCGAGGAACTGATCCGGATTTCATTCACATGTACATCACCAAGGAAGATTTTACAGTAATGCTTCGTGAGAGCTTATCTTTACAGGCAGCCTTTGCGGAATACCTGGGTAAAATACTTTACACTCTGCCGAAGCACGGTCTGCTTAACTCCCTAAAGGATGTTCCTCTGCAGCCTCTTTTCTTACAGCAATCTTTGCCAATCCCTAATGCCTGAACGGCACTCACTGACGTCTCGGGAAGAAGGGGCAAGGCTGCTGTTGTCTGGCAAGAGGCCACACGTGGGTGGCAACACTCTGTTGTTTTTCAGTCAGGTTCTACTGGGGAGGCTTCGCAAGCATTGCAGATTGTGGAAAAAGGGTTAATACAGCCTTTGCATCCAGGTATGATTTAAGTTTACCTGTTTGTTTATTTTTAATCCCTAATTCTTTTCAGCCATATGCGCTTATTGGTCAATGGGATGAAAAGGAACAACAGCTGTTAGTACTAGAATGGATTTTCCTTCCTCATTCATTTTCAAGAACTGTAACTACTTTGCTTGAGATGTTTGTGAGACTAATTTCTACAGGTCGACTGCGATGCCAGCAACTTCGAGGAACTGATCCGGATTTCATTCACATGTACATCACCAAGGAAGATTTTACAGTAATGCTTCGTGAGAGCTTATCTTTACAGGCAGCCTTTGCGGAATACCTGGGTAAAATACTTTACACTCTGCCGAAGCACGGTCTGCTTAACTCCCTAAAGGATGTTCCTCTGCAGCCTCTTTTCTTACAGCAATCTTTGCCAATCCCTAATGCCTGAACGGCACTCACTGACGTCTCGGGAAGAAGGGGCAAGGCTGCTGTTGTCTGGCAAGAGGCCACACGTGGGTGGCAACACTCTGTTGTTTTTCAGTCAGGTTCTACTCAGTTGGTTGAGCTTGCAGCTGCTATCCATGCATTCAATTTATTTGCTACTGAACCCCTTAATGTTGTCACTGACTCTGCCTATGTGTTTGGTATTATACAAAGATTAGAGAAATCCTTTTTAAAGGAAGTTGCAAATCAGGACTTGTTTAATCTCCTCTCTAGACTGTACACATTGATTTCACGGAGAGCTCATCCTTATTTTGTGTCTCATTTACGTTCTCACGCTACATTGCCTGGACCCACGGTTAAAGGTAATGCTGTTGCTGATTCTTTTACTATGGCTGTTGTGGTACCTAAGAAACTTTTCAACAGGCTCAACTCTCCCACGAATTTTATCATCAGAATGCCAAGGCACTCTCCAAGGATTTCCAGCTCACACTGCAGCAGGCACGACGGTCTGCTTAACTCCCTAAAGGATGTTCCTCTGCAGCCTCTTTTCTTACAGCAATCTTTGCCAATCCCTAATGCCTGAACGGCACTCACTGACGTCTCGGGAAGAAGGGGCAAGGCTGCTGTTGTCTGGCAAGAGGCCACACGTGGGTGGCAACACTCTGTTGTTTTTCAGTCAGGTTCTACTCAGTTGGTTGAGCTTGCAGCTGCTATCCATGCATTCAATTTATTTGCTACTGAACCCCTTAATGTTGTCACTGACTCTGCCTATGTGTTTGGTATTATACAAAGATTAGAGAAATCCTTTTTAAAGGAAGTTGCAAATCAGGACTTGTTTAATCTCCTCTCTAGACTGTACACATTGATTTCACGGAGAGCTCATCCTTATTTTGTGTCTCATTTACGTTCTCACGCTACATTGCCTGGACCCACGGTTAAAGGTAATGCTGTTGCTGATTCTTTTACTATGGCTGTTGTGGTACCTAAGAAACTTTTCAACAGGCTCAACTCTCCCACGAATTTTATCATCAGAATGCCAAGGCACTCTCCAAGGATTTCCAGCTCACACTGCAGCAGGCACGAGAAATTGTCTCTGCCTGTCCAGACTGTCAGCGTCTCCTGCCGCTTCCTACAGACTGGATCTAATCCTCCTGGATTGCAGCCCCATGAACTACAGCAAACTGATGTTACTCATAGTTCTGCATTTGGGGTTCTTCACTTTGTACATGTTACTGTTGACACCTTCTCTGGGTTTATTGTTGCTTCTGCACACAGGGGAGAGAAGGCTAAAGATGTCTGTCGCCATTGGCTTCGTGCAATTGCTGTTTTAGGTATTCCACAGAAAATTAAGACTGATAACGGGCCAGGTTATGTCACTAGACAAACAAAAACTTTTTTAGCTGAGTGGGGTATCCTGCACGTTACAGGTATTCCCCATTCTCCAACTGGTCAAGCAATTATAGAGCGTTCTCACCTTACACTGAAAAACATGCTTTATAAACAAAAAAGGGGGAATCCCCTGGGTATCACACCTCAGGAACAATTAGATAAAGCCACTTATGTTTGGAACTTTTTGAATCTTACGCATGGTGACAATTTGACTGCTAATCAGTGGCGATATGGTTTGCCAGATCAAACAAATATGAAGCCTACTGTATTTGATAAAGACTTACAGTCAGGAAAATGGATGGGTCCAGTACCCTTGTTATCATGGGGACATGGTTATGGTTGTGTTTCTTTATCCACAGGACCATACTGGTTACCTGCGAAAAATATCAAGCCTGCCAATACTATACAGAAAGATGCAGAGTCTGTCGAAGATGTCTCTCAAGACAAAGATAAGAAGGAAGATTCTAATCTTCCTCAGGTTTAATCATGTTGAATGTGTCTCGCATTATCATGTGTATGTCTTGCCTGTGTTTAGGCCTCTCATATGGTGGGATCGAACATCACTTAAGTAATAATGATACGAGATGGATGAGAGGAGTTTTATTACTACCATCTTGTGATGATCTTAACAATTACTTTAAGGCTAGCCAGATATTTTGTAGTGACTTACATGTGTGTCACACGGGCCAATGTTACTAGGCCTGAGAATCAATCTCCTTCTATTAATGTCACTGCCCAGTTACATCTCGTTGGATTAAAACTAAATGGCAAAACTAATTACACTGTGGTCACTTTGCCAAGTCCAAACAATACCAACAAGGAGGGTATTATCCCATATTCGTCCTATTTCCAGCATGCAACCTGCAAAAATTGTAAGATTTGCAACAATTGGCTCAGAGACCATGTCTGAGGTTGTATCCTCAAAGACAAAACTCCTAAATTCCTTGGATTCTAAGGACAACCATTCTAGCATTAAAACAGATCTAATGACATTAGTTTTGCCAGGTTTAACATGAACTGTATAGCAGCTGTATATGCAGAAAAATCTTACCTTAATTAACCTGATGGATTTTGCATTGTGCTAACATAACTGTGTGTACTACTCACTTATATGTATTTGCATTAGTTTGTAATCCTAATGTAACCTTTAATGATAGTTTGTATTCATTAGAAGCACAATCCTTTTCTTTAAGAATTATATTACACATGTTGATTTAGCATTAGGAAGTTAGATGACTATCATTCTTTTAGAAAATAACCAGAATTATGCATACCTGTTAATTTTATGTATGAATGGCAAGTGAAAGATGGTGTAGGTTATTTAGTGAGACTTCCTAAGAATGAAGTTGAAAATACAAAAAAAGGGTTAAGTGTGTTCTTGAGTGGTTAGTTTTTACTGTAGTACGTGATTACAGACACTTGAAGCTGCTTTGTTCTTTTGTTTAATTTTCTTTCTTTTTGGGTTCCTAGGTTCAATTAATTAGACATGTGGTATTCAATGCCAGGTTGTGATGACCCTTGCTTTGATTTCTATTCTAATAAAAAGGGGGGAGATGTGGGCTCAGTGAAAGGTCACTCACATAGTTAAGATTTACTTGCATCTGGAGCAACAGTGTGTGACCTTGAGAGCAGTAGTGACCTTGAGAGCAGGGGAGGAGTGAGAAATACAAGTTTTGCATCCTGAAACACATCCTGACAAAAAACAGAGCAGTCTGGGAACCGAAACCTGTCTTGAGAGTAGAATAATTGTTATTGTGATAAGCTCAGTAGAAGGTAAAAAAATATTTTTGTAAGTCCGTGATTGGGCATTATGGGGGGTGTAGGTTTCTGTCTTAGTGTATATAAGTCTCTCTGTGTAGCAATGAAGATGGTCAAATTGGATTTTTGGATTTGCTTACTGCATGACCTACGAGTCTGTGATTTCTTCATACACCACAGTTAACGGGCAGAAAGTTAGTTTTCTTAGTGTCTGGATTTTCAGAACAAACATCTTAACCACACAGTAGAGAAAGTCACAGACACCAGTTTCTCTCAAGCTTTCTGGTATTACCAGAAGTTCACAGCATTACTGCACAGTGCTTTAATCTTTGAAATTTTCAAGGCAAATGACATTCTATTTGAAATTCTGTAGCCCTCCCTTTGCAGTTTCTAGCCTTACACCTACACACCCTCAAACTGCTGAAGCAGTGCTTTCAGCTTTGTAACCAAAAGGATCTTCTCTCTATTGTTTTTCACCTTGAGATTCCAACACATATCTGCTATGTCACTTTTCCTGAAAGGGACTTCAAATGACATAAAATTCAAGCTGCCTTCCCTGTTCTTTTCCACCCTTGCTTTGTAGCTTCTAATTTATAACTTAATACCAGGGACAGCCAACACTTGGCCAATAGGTACCATCCTGTAAAACAGAATCAGCTCACCAGCCAATTAGTCGGTGCAATAGTCATGTCTGATCAAAGTGAGCTCTGTTCAGCACCATTAAACTAATGACTGAAAGCAACACACAGTAGGGTCCTGATCAAATGGTGCAGCTACTATGGAGTAAGCATTTCAGAATGCACCAGGGAAAGATGCTTACCTGAAGGGACACCTTCAACCTCTTTTCCCAGCTGGCCAATGGGAAAATATTTATCTTCTTTCTTATTACTCCTCCAACCTGAAGCAACTCCTGTTGGAGTGAATGTATTCACTAGAATGCAGGTTCATGAATGAACCTTTTTACATGCAAATTTGTCCCCACATCTTTCATACAAGAACAACAAAATACCAAACAGGCCTAGCATTGCTTTTTTGCCATATCAAAAACTTCAGAGAATCTTTGAGACACAACCAGGTTGAAAAAATGTAAGGCAGTTGTGGCAAGGAATAATTCAGAACCAGATTATGAGAGACTATCACAGATACTTACAAATGCAAGCAAGGAGTCTTTCTGACACCAAGTAACTTTTAACAATAGTGGCAAGGAGGAGAAGGAAAAGAAGCTTCTTCTGTTTACCCACCTGAAACCGATAGTAGATGCTGATAAAACATGCTATCGTCATCATCATCTTCTGAAGGATGAAAAGAATGGGGTGGTGAAGCTCTTAACAGACCAAGTTGCTTTCAAAAGAAAAGAAGTTACATAAGCAGGCTGAAAAAAAAATCTGTGTCTCAACTGCAATTAACAGTCAATTATTTACAACAGCTTTTCTGCAAACCAGCTGCCAGACTCAACATGAAACTTTTCGTCTCTCTGCTGGGTAGCTAGGCAAGATCCCTGCACCAATGAAAGTGTCAGAATGGAAATTATTGTTCATTCATCAAGCAGATGACTTTAAAAGGGGAAAAAAGAACTCAACAAAGATCCACATTGATAGCTCGTGAAAGTTCAACTTCCATGGAGGGATGGACATGGGTAAAATCAAAACCAACTAGCTCGCTCTCATGCTGAACTACAGTCTTGACAAGATGGTTCCATCCCCCATCTCAAATGGACACACCAGCTGTCATTAAGTCAAATTTATCTTCTTTAAAGGAAGACTGCTTCATAGTCATTTCTGCTGTATTGTGCTAGTTCCCTAGGCTAACATATAAATCTAAAGTGTTGCAATAGAATACACCAGCTTAGAATGATAGAATGGTTAGAGTTGGAAGGGACCTTAAAGACCACCGAGTTCCAACCCCACTGCCATGGGCAGGGACACCTCCCACTGGAGCAGGCTGCTCAAAGCCCCATCCAGCCTGGCCTTAAACACTTCCAGGGATCGGGCATCCACAACTTCCCTGGGCAACCTGTTCCAGTGTCTCACCACCCTCAGAGTAAAGAATTTCTTTCTAGTATCTAATCTAAATCTCCCCTCTTCCAGTTTAAAACCATTACCCCTTGTCCTATTGCTCCCCTCCCTGATAAGGAGTCCCTTCCCATCTCTCCTGTAGGCCTCCTTCAGGTACTGGAAGGCTGCTATAAGGTCTCCCCAGAGCCTTCTCTTCTCCAGGCTGAGCAACCCCAACTCTCTCAGCCTGTCTTCATAGGAGAGGTGCTCCAGCCCTCTGATGGACCTGTTCCATGAGGTCCATGTCCTTCCTGTGGTGAGGACTCCAAAGCTGAACACAATACTCCAGGTGGGGTCTCACGAGAGCCAAGTAGATGGGCAAAATCACCTCCCCTCAACCTGCTGGCCACGCTTCTTTTGATGCAGCCCAGGATGTGGTTGGCTTTCTGGACTGCCAGCATGCATTGCTGGCTCACGTTGAACTTCTCATCCACAAGCACTATCCACAATCTTAGATGTACAACGTCTCTCACCTTCACTCTTTCTCATCCCAGAACCAGATGAATTGAACATTACTTACTGGATTCTGCTTTAGCATTAAGTTGAAAGGACACAGGCCAAGAAAGTTTTTCCACTTCGCTTCCCAGTCTTCCTGTTCTCTAGAAATAGATTCACTCCTTGACACGTAATGCTGTTGATTTAAATTTGGCCTGTAATATATAAGCGTGGAAAGTGAACATAACACATCTGTTGGTGGAGATTACAATTCTACATAAAGATGAAGAGTTTTACGTGTTCCCCTTATCCTGCAAAATATTTGGTATGTATCAACTTATTTATGCATTCAAGTATGCACTAACTGAAGTTCAAGACCTAAGAAGCAGCTGCTAAATAGTCTTCATGTTTGTTACAGCAGAATTGGAAGAACTATACTAAAATACATGCATACAATGAGATACAAACTTAAACCTTCCCTAAGCCAATTTCAGATCAAGTTTTAAAGTCCCAGAACCAATTAAGGAAAAAAAAAAGAGTCAGGAACAAAGCCTAAAATATTAACAAAGCAAGGGCAAAAAACCAAAGTTAAGTAGAGAAGAATCTCAGTTAAAAGTTACATAGATAATCCAGACAAATATGATTTTCACAGAAGCAAAGGAAAACTGACTGAACCAACATGTTCTCACTATAAATGACAATATTTGAGAAAAGACTACAAAGTAGGAAGACATGATCCTTGAATTAAGAACAAGCAACTAGAGAAAATTTCCAGACAATTACCTGATTGATTGCAAATTCTGTAATATTTCTGTGCATTTCACATTAATATCCTTAATGTACGCAAGTTGTGGTGTTAATTCAGATTGACAAATTTCATCTCTCAGTGTCCTCAGGGCTTCATTTAATAACCGAATGACCATTAAGAAATTCAGTTTTCCGGCTTCGTATACATTTCTTGACCAATGCTTGAGGTATAGCGAGCAAGAAAAAAAAAATATTAGTGAACAGCATGCATATCAGAAAGTTATGTCTTCTTTAGTCAGAGCAGGGATATAAACCTCCACTTTGTATTTTGGTTCAGTTCCCGATTTTTTCATTTTTCTCAAAAACACTCTAGATTTAACCCTCATCTTTGTTTTCTAGAATCAGATGCTTAAAAGCAGGCTATAATGAACTATGAAAACTTCAACTAATGAGGTATTCAGTTTAACCACTGTCCCAGAAGATGTGGCTGGCCTAAATAACATCATATACTACACACTGGAAACAAAAGCCCATTATTTAAAGGAATAGATTGGTCAACGTAGTTTTAATGCCTAAACAACAAAAAAATCAAGTACTAACTAGGCAAACTTACCAATGCAGTTACTCAACTTAAAAAGCTAACAGTTGAAACATAACTAACACAAAACAGCAGCATAAACTTTTACAGATAAATTATACATATTTTCTCCTTCCTCGAGCAATCTGTGAAGTAGTGTTGAGTTTTAGTTTGGTTTTTCATATTTGTTTTTTTTTTTTTTGTTAAGGTATCTAATTATACACCTGGGGACTAAAAAAAAATATACAGCATAGCAAGGAGGACAAAAATTACTTACTTCGTGTGCGTCATTTTCAACTCTGTGTGCCAACAGCCGTGGAATTCTGAAATCAACCCTAGCTCCGTCTAAAATGTACTGGCCGACACAACCTTGAAGTACATAATCCACAGCTTCCTTTTCCTTTGTCAGAGATGTAATGGTTTCCATTATAACTGCCCACATACTGCGGACCTTAATAGGCAAGAAGGACAAAAATGCTACATTAAAATGCTTGCCACCTATTATGACAGAGTATCAAAACAGCATAAAGGTAGATGAAGGTGCTTAGTATAACCACAGGCAGACAAGTGGAAGTAACAGTATCTGAGAGCACATGCTGCACAATGTAGAAGAAATATAGTACACTTCAACAGCAGGAAAAAAATTCTCACCTTTTGAATTTTCTCAGTTCTGTTATTTTTGTTTTGGTCATTTTGTTTCATCCTATATGCACATGCAAAACAAAAGTTCAACGGGACTACAATGAAATTACAGTTCATATTTCATAAAATTGAGTAAGAAATCTATTTTATATGTGCTAACTTAGTTACAAGGAAAAACACTTACTTGAAAGACTTCAGCTGCAGGACTTCATATTCAGACTTTATCTGCTTTATTTCTTTAAGTAAAAGCCTAGGAAAAAGTTAAGTTACCACAGATTTTTAAAACACTGAAATTTCTACTCTGCTGTTCTCAGAATTCCTTACAATCACTAAACAATCATGCTCACTCTTTCTAAATTTGCATACCAAGGCAGTTTTGGAACAATGAAAAAAATAAAGAAAACCAAACTAACCCAAAACCTTAGCCTTTTGACTTCCTCACCATGACTTTCTGCAGAAAGATAACCTGGAAAGCCAGTAAGATACTTTTAAACTTAGCAATTAAGCTGTCACTTACTCTGTTGAAATGGAACACCTTTTCTTAGACATAAGAACAATAATGAAGTTACTAGAAATGCATTTTATCAATATAAACTTCCAAATATGTTCAGCTATTGTACAGTACCCAAATCTCTGTTTAAAAAAACTGGAGAACAGAATACTGGAGTACAAGCGGCTGGACCACCAAAGTTCTTTTGCCAAAGCGCTTTTATTGAATTTAAGTAAGTAAAGTGGCCTGATTTTCAGAACACTGGATGCCTGAATCATGCTGAATTCTAAACGATCTTCAGAGTTCTGGTATCTTGTTAAGAATGAAGAAACTATAGAGAATTATATTTTTGAAGGGTACCACTCACACAGAAAGCAAGAGTGTTGCATTATTTCAGTGTTTAATTGTTCTCGCATGAGATTTTTTTTTTTCCATCTCGATGGATTTTTCCCTCAGGCCTGTTGCTTCTTGTCCTGTCACTATACATCCTCGTAAAGGAGGGCCTCCATATTCTCTACAACTATTGCTTAGAAATTGGAAGACTGTGGTGAAACTCTCTGAGCTTTGTCCTCCTCTGGCTAAACAAATCCAATTTCTACAGCTTTTACTCCTATGTGTCAAGTTCTCCAACCCTCTAATCATTGTGGTGCTCTGCTAGAATCTCTCCTGTCTTTCAATCTCTCTCCTCAACTAGAGAGACCAAAACTGAACACAGTACTCCAGGTGTGGCCTTAGAGTTGCCAGGTAGAGTGAAATACATCTCCTGATCTGCTGGATGTGCTTCTTTTCATATAGCCTAGGAGGCTGTTGGTTGTCGTGGCTACCAAGGCACACTGCTCATGCAGTGCTCAGCTTGGTCCAGTGCTACTCTCACTTGTACTCCCCATCAAATCACCACAAGCCTGTGCTGCTGTTAGGGATTATTCCACCCCAGGTGCAGGACTTTACACTGATCTTTGTTAAACCTAACACAGCCCTTGTTGGGCAAGTCTCCAAACCCAGCAAGGTCTCTCTGCGTATTCTCTCTTCATTCCAGTGTATCTACTATTCCTCATGGTTCAGCAGGTTTGCATTCAATCCTGTCACCCATATTTCTTGCAAAGACAAGGAACAGTGTAAGACACAGTACCAGCTCCAAAGAACTCCACTCATGATCAGTCAGACTTTGAGGCACTACCACCCTTTGGGCTCACCCCTTTAGCCAGCCTTCTGTCTTTCCAAAAAGCAGTTCTGAGATGATACCAGGTAAGTATCTCTGCACCCTTGGATGCATTCCATCAGGTAGCAAAGGTCTCTACATGTCCAGTTTGTATATGTGAGCCTCCCCTTTCTCTTCTTCTACTACCAGCAGTTCGTTGCTTCTTTCATCACTACTGTTTGGCAGAGAGACTGGGCTACTGACCTTACTCATGAAGACTGAGGCAAAGAAGGCATTAGGTATTTCAGCTTGTGGCACTTTTAACTTAACTTACCATTTCATTCAGAAGCAGATCTAAATGCTCTAAGTACTTCCACTTCCTTATAACATACCTCTGGAAGCCTTTTTTCAGGCTTTTGCCAGGCTCTTGGAGCTTTAGCTGAATTTGGCTTTCCTAATAACATCACCACTCACCTGAAAAATATTTCTGTATTTATGTCTGGGAGTCAGTCCCCTTTTCCATACTCCATACGCTGCTGCTTTGGTTTCTGAGCTTTACCATTAGCTCACTGTTTTAACCAGGATGGTTTCTTGTTAGGCTTGCTTCTTTTCTACTTCAGGGGACAGACCGCACTTGAGCTTCAGCAAGGATCTCTGAAAACACCCTAGCAGTCCTGAGCCCTTCTGTTTTCCACAGGATACCTCCTAGCAGTTCCCTGGGCAAGTTGAAATCCACCCTTTTAAGTCTAGCATCATTATTCTTCCACATCTTCCTCACGTTTCACAGGACCTTAAGTTCTATGGCCTAGGCTGCTTTGACCATAAGGTTCCTGTTGGCTGTTACTTCTCCAGAAAAGTTCATCTTACTTGTAAGCAGTGAGTTCAAAAGAGCACCACTCCTACTCAGCAGACCCATTACGAAGTCACACTCAATGCATTCCAGTTTACCAGATTGCTAATGCACTGCTTTCCCAGCAAATACCAGAGTAAGCTGAAATCCTCTGTAGGTATCAAAGCCTGCAGGTCTGAGTTGCTTTTCATCATTTTAAGAAGGCTTCATATACCTTTTCTGGTATAGAGAAAAACATGTATAGCAGATGCCCACCATGAGGTCCCACTTGATGTTAAACCCTCTGATCTCAATTCAAAGGCATAAAACAGACCAGTCCTCTCATATGGAGATACACCACATGCACTGAAACTGCTCTTTTACCTGCAATCCAACTCCTCCTCCTCTTCTGCCATTTACTGAATATCTTGCAACTGTCCATGACAGTGCTGCTTCCCACCCAAATTCTGTACAGTCCAATGACATATAACCCTGTGCTGGCACAGGAAGTTCCAGTAATTGTTGTTTCTCAAACTGGGAATGTTTTCCATATACAATAATAAAGAATAGCATAATTTTGGAGAAATAATTAAGGATTGTGTAAATGAAACGTGTCCCAGAGTGACTAAGCAAAGACCAAATGTTTCATCCTGAGATAGTTGTAAGATATAACCCTTCAAATGTTAAGAAGTCATAGTGTTATATATGAAGAATTCTCTGACCAATTTTAATGCCCAAGTAACCATATCTTCCAAAACACAGTATCTCCTAACTGAAGAACTACTTTTTTAGACTATTATACTATATAAAAGACCCTACAAACAGTAGAACTGTCAATTAAAGGAGGTAAAGGGAGAGAAAAAACGGGGAGAACCTCAACAGAACTCATGATGTAAAGCAGATGTAGCCTCCTCAAATCCTTCCAAAAACACAGATACAAGTCAGCTATTATGAAAGGCTCCATTTCTTTAAATGCATTACTTACTGCTTTTTCTTATTATACTCTTGAATAACAAGATTTTCCTTTTGAAGAATTTGCAGAAGTTTATTGGATGCAACTCTACATCTTGCCTTTGCCATGTTCACATCTTCAGGTGTCAACTTTACAGCTTCAACAAAAGGTATATCAGTGCCTAAATGAAAGTTAACGTTTGGATTACATCATTCACCTCTAGCAAATAGGCAACTTCTTAATCTACCTAGTTTGAATTGAAAGAATCACATGCCCAGATGCCTATTTTACCTGGACTAAAATACAGTATACAGTGTACTGTATTTTTTTACCAGTTCTTTCTGTTGTATATATTTTCATTCCATCACTCTCACTCTCTTTCCCCTGTTCTTTAGGTCACCAAACAATATAAAATGCCTAGAATAGGCAGTTCTGACCCTTCAGAATTCCACAAGTTGTGAGAATGAGTGGTCAAATACTTTGGACCAAATCATTGCTTGTGTGTGTAATGGTGCACAGCATTACACAGATGAACCTTGGAGCAAGGCCCACAATGCAACAGAAAGCAAAACCATCTGCCGTGTTCTATCATCAGTAACACTATGCAAGTACACAGAATCCTCTGGAAGACTTCTGAACGGAGCAGCCAACTCAGAACTACTTAAAGCTCTAGGCATAAAAACTTGACAGACTCACTGTCAAACATGACAAATGAAGCATTTTTTTTGTTCCATTAAAGCTTACCTGTGGAGTTCCTTTTCATGTCCTCAAGCATTGCATGTCTCGCAAGGCGATACATTAGGTGAATAAAATTAGAACCACCAGGAGAAGCAAGTGCAGAAGGTGGAAATCTTGGAAGCTGACTTTGGTCTTCATTCTAGAAAAGTTGAATTGGTTTTAAACACAAAACTGACCTAAGAAATAAGGCCTAAGCAACAGCCTTAAACATTTAGCTGAGTACCAAAACACTGCCTACTTGCTCATAAGCCTGATGCAAAGCTAAACTGCTACGCCACCACAGTTGACATCTACTCTAGCCAGCAGAAGGGACCAAAATTTTTTTCAATGTTCCCCAAACCAGCCCTAGCCCTGTACATAAAAGACATTTTCAACTCAAAGACTGAAATCAGTGCTGGGTAAACATTAGAAGCCTCTGCCCTCATCACTCCTAACTGGTAATACCTATCTTTGAAAAAAAAAAAAAAAACCAACTTTCAAGTTTTCTTTCATATTTTCTACTGAAGTAATTATCAGCATACTTTTTTATGCTTTTATCTAACTCAAAGATATTGCATCATTGGCTTTCACCTTATCAATTATTAATAAAAAGTAAGTGTTCCAGTACAGAGATCTGATTTCTAGAACTATCATTAAAACAAGGGCAGCATGAGAAGGTAGCATAACAACCAATGATACCTGAAGCAATCAATTTTGGTTTGTCTCTTTTCCTTTAGAATGCTCGCCTTAAACTTTAGTCCCTTTCCCCATATATAAGGAATTACTAATGTTAAAAAAGTTTTTTATGCATCTGAAACCATTTTCACAATAATAACTACCTTCCCAGGCAACTTAAGCAAACACTTCTCAAGAAAATTATTCTCACCCAGAGCTAAGGAACACTCTGAACTTCTGCTTAATCAAATACCATTATTCAGAAGCTAGCCACAGCAGTTTTAAGATTAAAGTTTGAATCTCTGTCATCTGAATTCTACCACCCCACCATTTTTTCCTCAAGCAAGTCTGAGATAAGCTATGTGAAAGAAGACACAAAGTAAAACTGAGTTCTTTGGTAAAACAACCTCATTTAAAGCTCTTATTTAAAAGCACTACATAGTCTCAAAACAAACAAAAAAAAAGACTGAGGTAATAGAAACCAGTAGAGAGTTAATTTCCATGCTTTTTAATACTCACTGCAATCTCTCTTAGCCATAAACAGCACTTCTTCCTAAATTCAGCAGTTTTCAATACTCCTACTGGAAGGGAACAGTCTCTTTCCATTTAAAAGGGATGGAAAAAAAGAAGAAAAAGGAAAAAGCAATTTCAAAATACATTCAAATATTCAGTTACCTTCAGAATTAATCACTTTAAGAACATGACTGAAACAAAGATTTTTCTAGTGATGCCTCCTGGAGACAGAAAATGAGTGGATATAGCCTACACCAAAAATACCTAAAAGTTTGTTAAATGATAAAGCTTTCTTGCTATTATAAATGAATTACAGGCTATTTCAGAGGCAGATCTGTCTGCTCTTTTAAGTCAGAAGAAGGGAAGAGGAAAAAAAAAAGTGCCAGAATGCTGACAACTTTCATATCACTGGTCTTCCACCAGCCATTTCTTTAATGTGCAAGCTAAAATAGCTCATCTATATTAGGAAAAACATTAAGGGAGATGGAGTTCTTGCCCTGTTGGAAGATCCTGGCAGCAATGCATAACCAGGAAATGTTACTTGCCGTTTTGCCAGAGAAATGAAAAGGTAGATCATTTGCAGCTATGGAAGTTTTTACCAAACTCACCAAATTACAGGTACTATCACAACCAACTCTAATTAAGGCAAGCTTTCTGATACAAAAATGTAATCAAGAGGAAATAAATTATCTGACCGTATGCTCTTTTTCCACAGCACTTCCCCAATAGACGACTTACCCACCACCCACACCCAGCGACTGCATAAACCATACTCTTGGTTACACACAGAAATAACCTCACAGGCCAAACACTTACCCAAAAATTTGTGCTGTCCGGAGCTTATCCAACTTAGCAAACAAGAAGTAGGCAACGACATAAAACGCCGTCGCATTTGGTTTCTCAAACATCTTCCTAATACACAAACAGTCACATCAGAAGTAGTTAGGATGCCGAATCTACACAGCATTTTTACTGGCTGCTTGGGATTACAAGAGGCTACTTTTATAAAGTGTTAAAAGTCATACATCGAGTTCTCTGTTTTCTGCATAGTTAAAAACATACATCCCTTAGCCTATTCAACAAAGTTGAAGTAATCTTGGTGAGAGCACTTTCTCTCAAAAGAAGTTTCCAAACCAGGAGGGATGGAGCCAACCTGCTTGCTTTCTCCCTAAGGCAGGATGCATCGACCCGACAGCACCAGTTATGACCATTTCTGGCTTTCACTTCTGGCAGGGAATTGCCAGAGTTGGAAGGGACCTCTAGAGATCATCTAGTCCAACTCCCCTGCCAAAGCAGGGTTGCCCAGAGCACGTTACTCAGGACTGCATCCAGGTGGGTCTTGGATATCTCCAGAGAAGGGGACTCCACGACCTCCCTGGGCAGCCTGTTCCAGTGCTCTGTCACCCTCACCATAAAGAAATTCTTCCTCATATTTGAGTGGAACTTCCCACGTTCCAGCTTGTGCCCGTTGCCCCTCGTTCAGACACAGGTAACCATTCAAGCATCTCTTGAACGCCAAGGGCACCAGGCCCCTCGGCGGCCACGGCGAGACACCCACCCACCCCCTTCTTATTCCTCGTCTCGAGGGGTGCGCTGCTGGGTGAAACCCAGGCTTCCGCCCCGGGGACCGGCGGTCGCAAAAGACCCTCCTCCCGCCTTCCACCTTCTCCTCCGTCCGCGGCTTCTCCCTCGCACTTACGGTCCCACTTGGACGCCGATGCCGGCAGCCCTGGGGTTGAAGCCCAGGGCCTGCAGGTAGAGCCAGAGGTGCTCTCCCTCCCAACTCGCAAAGCGCAGCTCGCGGCGCGGCGCGCGACGGCCGTCGGAGTAGAGCGGCTGATCGCCGGAGGAGGCGGCCCGGGGGAGCGGGCAGGGGCCGAAGGAGGAGGTCTGGGGGCGCGGGCCGGGGCCGAAGGAGGAACGGGGGCGCGGGCCGGAGGAGGCGGTCTGAGGGCGCTGGCCGGAGGAGGAGGAGGGGGTCTGAGGACGCTGGCCGAAGGAGGAGGAGGGAGTCTGAGGACGCTGGCCGAAGGAGGAGGAGGGAGTCTGAGGACGCTGGCCGAAGGAGGAGGAGGGGGTCTGAAGACGCTGGCCGAAGGAGGAGGAGGGGGTCTGAGGACGCTGGCCGAAGGAGGAGGAGGGGGTCTGAGGGCGCTGGACGACGGAGGAGGTCCGGGGGCGCTGGCCGGAGGAGGTCCGGGGGCACTGGCCGGAGGAGGTCCGGGGGCACTGGCCGGAGGAGGAGGAGGAGGGGGGGTGGGTCTGAGGGCGCCAGCCGGCGCCGCGGCCGCCGGCCGAGGAGGGCCCCGAGCTGGACCGCAACCGATCACCACCCGCCATTTTCACCTGCCCGCCGAAAGCTCCCGCGCGCCGGCCGGCCCGCCCGCCCGCTTCGCAGCCCCAACGCCGCGAGACCTCCCGCCCGCCCCAATAGGAAAGGCGGGAGGGCGCGCAAGGCATGTCGGGAGCCCGGCGCCGCCGCTCCCCCTCCCCCAGCACCCCGTGGCGCACTGCCTGCCGGTAGTTGTAGTACCGGCGGCACGAAGCCGGCGGGAAGGCCTCGGTACCGGCGAGCGGAACGGCCGCCCGCCCGCCGCAGTGCTGAGGCGCCCACGAAGAGGCCCGGCCATGAAGGAAGGGGTGGGCGGCATCAGCGCGCCGAAGTCGGCGAGCTGCGTGAGCTGGTGGTGGTGGCAGCGGGCAGTCGGGCCTGGCGAGGCAGGGCAGAGAGCCCGGTGCGATTTAAAATGTCTTTGTAACCGGGTTGCAAAATCTGACACGAAAAACGCAAGCAGGACTGGCGGCGGCAGGCGCTGCGCCTCACGCTTTCACTGCAAGGCGCTTCAGTCACCAGGCTGCAAAAGCCTTCCGCGCCGACCAAGCGCTGGGATGAGGAGAGAGCCCGGGGTCCGGCCTGGCCTGGCCTGGCAGCTCTGCCGAGCCCCGGGTGAGGCTCCAGGCAGCGTGTCCGGGCCTGCGGCGGCCCCCGCGGCCGCGGGGAGGAGGGCTGTGCGGGGGGAGTTCCGCCTCAGCCCCGGGCAGAGGAAGGCGGCGGGGCTGCCCCCAGACCCCCGCCCGCCCCCCCCTCCTCCCACAGAAGGGCACGGTGCGCAAGCGAGCGGGGAGTCGGCATTCCGTAGGCAAATCTTTCATCGAGATTTTATTTAAACGTGGAAAAGGATCATCACCATCACCAGAAGTACCCCTACCGACAATTCTCTTCCTTGCAAATCTTCTTTAATCCCACGTCTGTTTGTATCTCTTTGGTCTCCACTTTTTTCCTTCCTTTTTACAGTCTTTCCCCCTCCCTCCCCCTTCCTTCTTTAACTGTCATCCTTATTCCCAGAAAACTTTTATTTTTTAAGCAGTTACCCTCTTCTAGTCTCAGGCCCCGCAACTGATAGCATCAGGTTGGGCAAAATTTTTGCATACAGAAGGCATGTAAAGAGAAAGGGAGTCCTTTTGTGCATAAAGCACCCATGCCATAAGGGAAGCTCTAAGCTTCTAAACTCTAGGTATTGAGCCTAACAAAAAGAACCTGAGAGAATCTGAGACAAAGTCTCTTACCCCTTACAGCAGCAAAGAGGTAGATGCAGAAGTGCTTTTCATGTAGACCAAAAAAGGGGAAATTCTGTGGGTAAATCCTCATCAACTCCTTTTGTTGGCAGCCCTTTATGCAAAGCACTGGAGTGTTCTCACGGCTGCTGCCAGCAGGAGAACAAATCACTAACAAAGATTAGATCAGTTCGATACACTGGTTAGGCTATACCTGGCTTGTAGAATGGGAGCTTGATACCCATGCTAATGAATTAATACAGCATGCGTTCCTTAGGCGGAAAAAAAAATTGAATTTTGATGCAGCTAAGTGAAACAGTAGTGATTAAAAAAAAGTATCCCCAAAATCCCTAAGCTAGGCAGGTTCATCTTTAAAAAGGAGAAATAGAAGTTAAACATGGCAAAAGTACATTGTATCAAAAATACATCTTTATGCTTCTCTTTACTCAGCTCTTTGCCCTGTAGTGTAAGGGCCATTTGTGCGTGAAAAGTCTTGTTGATCATCTTCATCCAAATCCAAAATGTCTGGGATATCATCTGATTCCGAAGATAGGTCTGTAATAGTGAAATCTGGAACCTGCATAGGAATGAAATTTCAATCAATTTAAAAGTAAAACTAAATAAATCTATGCAGTACTCCTCACTGAAGTCAGGAGAGAAAGATGCTCAGCATCTCTAGAAATCAGACCCAGAATACTAAATACAGAGTAAAATATGCTCAGTCACACATGAAACACACAGCATGCAGACAGACCAAATACTATGCAAGATGTAGATCAGTTTCTTAGAAAACAGGATTTTATAGCAAAGATGGAACAGAGCTGACCTTAGTGGAATGTGTTTAGTGAAACCAGTCACTGGAAAATTAAGAAAGGAAGGTTTTAAACTTACTTTCCCTTTCTTCTTTCCTTGGGAGCAATAGGCTATGCAGAGGAACCTGCCCTGAGCAGCTCGGTACGGATTGCTCTGGACGGCTCTGCCTGCCTACCGCATCAGACCTTTCCTGAGGAAACAAGGATCTGGAGAACTGCAATTCCACTTTGGCCTCTGTTTTAACTGCATTTGTAATATTCTGTACTGTTAAGCAGCACCCGATTTTCAGGAGTTGCCGGAGACATTAGTGGATACATGGATGTTACACACTTCTAAAAATGTTGGCTAAGACACTTAGGAACTTAAGTCCCAACCTTTAAGTCCCCTTAGTAAGACTTAGATTGCTTAGGCGCTTCTGAAAAATGGGATATAATTAAGCAATTTATTCATAAAGAAAAGTTGGGGGGTTTTTGCCACAAACGAAAAGAACGTTTATCTATACTTTGACTCATGGTTAGCTTTAATGTCGGTGATGTGACATACTTGGAGCCAGGCACAGGATCAGCACATAAAGATTGGTGCATGCTGACAGGATTCGGTTCTGCGTGCACGAAGCAGCAACCTGAAGAGGCTTCTGGGCATTTTTGTAACTGAAGTTCAGTGCTGACTGGAGAAGTGGTTTTTATCCATTCCCTAACTGCAAAACACCTTGTTTATGACTGATTCTACGAGACATAGTATGCAGGACAAATCTGTGCTTTGCCTGCTATGAAGAAATGTCAGAACAGAGAACACATCAAAGGATACAAGGATTCCCACTTCAGCTGCCAGGTTGCAGATAGCACTGAAGCACTGAGCATGAATCACTCAGTTCCATAGAGAGTAGGTAGCCATAGGGCTACCAGGGTCTTATAAATATTAATTAAAATATTAATTAAAATTGAGCTTCAGAAGAATTAAAGCAGCATGTGACTTACCAGGTGCTAGTGTGAATACAATGAAATGCGTAGACCTCTTTGAGAACCCGAACTTGACCAAAATGAGACCAGTAATTTGTCTCCTAAAAAATCAAAAGGCACTAGGAATATGGGAAACACATCTCTCTACCAGCAAGAAGTATCTGCTGGTAGATAATTTTTCTGCTTATGGCAGTTTACCTAAAACTCTAATCACTGCAATTAGAGAAATCACCAAGTTTTCCCATTATCAGCACATAACCCTGTATTTCATACTGCAGTACAAATGGAGGTAACTTAACAAGACTAAGGCCAAGTAGTCTGTATGCAAACTCGTTTTAAAATGTGCCCAAACAGATGGTTTAAACAAGTTGTTTTCTTCTGTATCTGCAGTGAGCAGGGCACACAACCATGTTCAGTAACTGCATCTGACCGGTGATAATTTATTAACTTTTATTACTTTTATTCATGTTGTTCTTACTGACAGGGGGATAATCACTCAAATTTAAGTTTGTGATTTCTTCATCTCCTCAATGCACACATTATAAGCAGCTGGCTCCTTCAACATTGCAGCAAGATTTTCCTAGCCGTCAAAGAATTTCAAATTGGTTTGTATCTGTCAGCATCAGAGTGAAACAGGGTTGGTGTCAGTATGATTTATCTCAGTTTTGAACATGCTAAATTTTATTAGAATAGCATATTCTAAATTAGAATAGCATGTTTATTTCAGTAGTATATTTATAGAGAATACCATCTGCAACAGCCTAACTAAAACAATGCAAAGCCCTTGGTGTTACGGGCTTGCTTGGGCGCAGGACCTTCACTTCCTTATCATTTCTCATGGTTGAAAGGAAGCTGAAACAACAAAGAATAAGGCCAGTTTATGACTCTTCATGCCATTTTTCTGTAAGATGCAGCTATGTCATTTACACAGAATGGTGCAAAACTTGCAAAATATTTGCATGAAGAGTGCAAAACATACTTCAGTGTTATATGTCAATACCAACATAACTTTAATCCATTTTTTTTCTTGCTTCATATGTTCTCAGAACTGAGCCACTAGCAATTTGAGAGACGGTTCTTATTTCGTGTACTTTCAGAACAAGCACTTATATTCAGTCATCAGAGACTGTACCATCCAAAAGAAATAAAATTTCCATCTTGTTACACAAAGAAATACATTTAACAAAATGATGTGCACAATTCCTCCGGCAAGCTATTGTGTGTAAGACTTTCTGATCATGCAAACGACCAGCAGGCCATGCTTAAAAAAATAAGTTAGGTTTCATTTTCTATTTTCAATTAGATGGCTTAGATAAGTTTTTGGGTGGTTTTTTTGGTGGGTTTTCGTTTATTTTTGTGAGTTTTTTAAAATAAAGATAAATAATCCATCAGTTGCTTCCAAATCCTTTTGCCTGTTTTACTAGCTATTCCTGTAAGTCGCAGTTTGGAAAAGAATATTGCAAAAGAAATAATCTTAAAGAGTGGGAGGGATTTCAAAAGCTTTCACCTTTCTTTAGTTTGAGGCAAACTAGCTATATTCCTGCAACTCCAGTCCTTATACAAATCTTGCAATTTCAATTTGACCAATGTTGAGAGATACTAGTCATTTAGCTTAAATTAAGTAAGACTTAATCAGAATAAATTACTTAGGGTTGTAATATCGTGGGAGTTACACTGTTTGTAAAGCATAATTTATGCTTTACTTAGCATGAGTAGCTAGATTTTCTGAAGCCTTTATGCCTCAACAGTAAATTTTCTTAGTAATTTTCCGAGCAGCTTGTACAGTGCTGTGTTTAGTCTTTGAGCGTGAGGAAAATGTTAATAACACACTGATGTATTGTTAGTGTTTCCCCAAGGCTGGGACTTTCCAGTTTCCCCTATTCTGCCAGGGAACGCAGGTGCACAAGAAGCATAAACCAGAAGGTAAGGCAGCTACAACCCTCAGCAGAGGCTGCAAATCAACAAGGTAAGAGCAGTCAATGCCCTGCCCGCCTGGACACAATAAAATATCCAATGAGATGTTAGAAGACCCCAGAACAAAAATCACCATTGGACTAAAAGATGCACGACCAGTGCGGGAGGGGGGGCTGGTACAGATTGCAAGGGTTTAAGTGCCCAGGAATTTCTTTATTCAAGGTCCCTCCCTTTTCAGAGGCACCCAACCCAGGCTGACCCTGCTGCTCTACCTTTCAGTTGAATCACTTATTTTTATAAACCTTAAATAACCTTACCACTGATAAATGCTTTGTTAGTATTCTAGCCTTTACCATCCCAGGTTTTGTGTGTCTTTGACACTATTCCATTTCATCTAATTTATCTTCTTTGCTGCAAGTAGAATCAACTATTTCCTATAATTTTCGACATACCTGATCTTAACCTTTTTTTAAAGGTTCCAGAAGAGCCTTCACAGTTTTCTAGCTCAGGCTATATCATCAAAAGTGTTTTTGGAATGAGTGCAAGCAAGTTTCTGTGCAGTGCAGCTGAGCTGTGTGGTATGTGCAATTGCAAAGCAGCAGGTACGGTGGCAGAAAATATTTAAGTTCTTTTAATGTCTCAGATTTTCCTCCTTCTATTTGAGAGTTTTCAGCAGTTATTAGCACATACTTCAGCTTCAGTCCACTGTGGCAAGAAACCCCAATGATGGCTATGGAAGGTGTCCATGTCATTCTTGCCTTGAGCAGGGGTTTTAATAGTCACTGTCTCTTACTGCACTAAGGAAAAATACCAAGTTTTGTCTGTAGGCTTGTAACTAGAATGGACACTAGCAATATGCTGTACTGGATTACCAGCAAGAAGATATCCGTGAATGGCAACTGTGACTTGCAATTCTGGATGCATCTAGTGCTGTTCTTATTAGCAGAGTCTAGTAATTTCCATCCAGAGACTTTTATTCAAGATAATAAACCAGGAACAAACTAAGTTGCTGTTATTCAGCCCTCTTCCTCCAAGGAAGGGTTCCTAATTCTATTAGAGGGGGTGGATAGAAACTTACGCACTTTGTCTGAAACAGCCACACACAAGAGCATGATGCAGGAACCTGCACACAGCATTTTGGTGTAACAGGCTGTTAGCCCAACTATGAGGTAGGCATTTAACCAGGCATTCCTCTGTTTGCCACCACTAGTTCTTAGGTGAGGTGTCAGCAGTCAAAGGAACACTTAACACAGAAGCAACCCGACAGCGGACAGTGAAGGAGGAATGATCTGAAGGGCTTACTTCATCTGCTTGCTGACATGCAGTGCAGATGGACAACTGTCTAAGAGAGCACAAAACAACAGTGCAACTTAAGACAGAACCAAGAGATGTGTTGCTCTTGCAGTAATACTAGGTGGGGCTGTTTATTTCCTAGTACTCAACAGGCAGTGAGCAGTCTGAGTATCTTATTTGGTTGATCACCTCAGAATGAAGGCCCACAGCCTTCAGATTTTAAAATACACATAAGAGTGGGAATTCCGTTCTTTGAACTGCCAGCTGCTCCCAAACCTGTTTAGTCCCTCCTGTTGCGAGCACCTCTACAATAGTGGATGCACTCTACAAATTTTATTTGAAGTTGAGATAAAAAAGGATATTCTCTGGCTGGAGTCATTCTATACTTAAACACAATTAATTGCTGAAAGAATTCCAGAAGTCTTAACTGAGGCCCTAGCTGAAAAGGAGTTCTCACTATCTCACATTAATTTCATGTTAAACAGCTCCCTTACAGAAGGCATTTAAAGCTGGAAGTTACAGAATTTTTATCCGTACTCCTCTGTCATTACAATTTTCTTTAATATTGTGCTTAAAACACGGTCTTCCTAACGCTTCTAGGCCAACCCTGCTTTAGCAGCTCAGTAAGCCCTCTCGCATTAGAAAGCTGGACTAAGTGTAATTTCTTTTAGTGCCACCGTCCTACCAGGTGGAAGCACTGCTCCATGTAGCAACATGCCACTAGGTGGCAGCCTTCCTCTGAGCCTTACTGTTGCTGCACACTCTTTGGTGACCTGCCCTCTTTGGAAATGGTGGCCGGTGTCGCTACACTCAATGGTCACAACTCGCAGTTCCACAGAGCATGCTTAAGAACACAGATACAACTTACCTGCACAGCACTAAACCAAGAAAGCTTATTTCTTAGTGACTGTAATTCTCTTCCAGGGGAGGGATTCACAGGATTTACTGAGGAACAATTCCACCCAAGTAGCTGAGTGTTAGTGTACATTAGGCACTCAAGTTCAAAAGAGGGTAAATAAAGAGGTTAAAACTGGTGTTTGCAGCTGAGGAATATATACTGTTATAGGAAGCCAGCAGCCAAAGCAGGTATCCAGCAGTCTCACACAAACAGAATGCCTACTGCAAAGGCATGACAGGGATTTTTGTGCATATCCTTCTCTTCTCAATATTAGAGCATCCATCAGCTCACAGCTTACGTCATCATTATACACAGTAGCAAGCACCAAAAAAACCAGGAGTAAAGACTGAATGGAAAGATGCACAGGAACTCAAAGGGAAGAAGGAAATGCTGCAGCAGTATCCCACCTATCTACACATACACACACACACACTTTCAATGCGTGTCTACTTCATTTGCAGTTCAAGCTTGCTTTCTGCTGGACCCAGTCTGAAGGACTCACAGAACAGCAAGTTACATTTGTTTTAAAACACAACTGAAATGGAGACAGACTTTGACTACTGAAGCATTTATTACTAAAATACAAAATGAATTACAAAAAGATATAGCTACAAAAAAAACCCCAACAACCCCCACAACAGCAGGCACCTGGGTACAAACAGCATGAATCTTATCTTTATACTGCATACGGAAATAGATGTATTGATAATGATTTGGTCAGTCACTGGAACAGGGTTCCCAGGGAACTGGTCATGACACCAAGCCTATCAGAGTTCAAGAAGCATCTGGATGACGCTTAGTCATACGGTTTAATTTTAGGTAGTCCTGCCAGAAGCAGGGAGTTAGACTCGATGATCCTTCTGGGTCCCTTCCAACGTGAGATACTCTATCATTCTGCGATTGGGTTACCGTGTTATACAATAGTTAAGTTTGAGTTAATGTTAGCACTGTCACAGCATTTAAGTAGCTCCAGCTGACTCATTCAGAAACCCCACTTCAGCTTTGGAATTCTGCACTCAGAACTTTTGTCATTAACTGTGTAGCAGTAGAATTTGAGACAGTCAGATCCGTAATAGTCAAACGTATGGTCTGCACCATATGGAATTTAAGCAAATCTAGCTAGACTGAAGGGCTTTTAAATGCATTTCACAGTATGTAAGGCTTTCATACCATTTTGGTACAGAGTAAACAACAAATCAAATGTTTTTAGCTATGGGAGGTTTCATTTAGGCTAACAGTATTAATACCATTAACAAGCTTGGTGAGGTTTCTTAACTTGACAGACAAACAAAGGCATCTGGACAACTGTAAGCTGCCAATATTTTGGCATTTGAGACAATCTGAGTTTTAGAGTGGCGTAACTACACAGGACAACACAGCCCTGAGCATCGTTTTTGGGTATCATTCTCCCACTCTTACGTTTATAGATTTTTTTCCAAGGCTTTTTGACAGCTACACTTGCTAGGCCACTTGTTTGGTCAGTCAGCAGAGTACGTGCATGCTATGCCATTTACTCAGCAGTGTGTTCAGGCTGTTTGTCTTTCTGGCTGGAGTTTTTCTCCCCTTCACCATTGCTCTCAGCATGCTGAGTGCCAGGCAGTTGTGGGTAAAAGGGACCTACCAGCCAGTTGAGCGGCGTGTTGTTAACAAGATAATCCATCACATCATCCAGAGACTCCTTCATCCTCTTCAGCTGCCCTTTGCTAGTGGTAAGAAAGCTGTCCGATAACTCTTGGAAGGAGGACGCTGACCGAAAGCTCTGGTAGACATCACCTGCCATTGACCCGACACTGTAAACCTGATCCTGCACGTGCTGTGGCAGCCCCTGGAGGCTTGAGACCAGGGTGAGGCAGGTGGTCTGAAGCTGCTGAGTGAGGTTCTGTGCAATAGCTAGAGTTCTTGACTCAATGTGCTGGAAACAAAGAGCATAACAGCACGTTAGTATCTTTTTATGTCTGGAGCAACTCTATGTTGCTCAAGATAAATAAAGAAGCACATGTAAGTAAAATAAAGCTATAGCTTAGTCTGAAGTCTGAAGAGTCAGAGGCTTGAAAGTACTTGATATTTCTTCAATGCTCAAGTACTTTGTGGAACAGAAACATCAGTAGCTTCTACCCAGCGACAGAAAAGCAAGCTCTTGTTTCAGCTATGGGTAAGAAGTAACAGTAGGATATTCTAAGCAATGAACCACAGTTTAAAGCTACACATAAGACTCAGTGAGTTGGTGCCCAAGACTGCTGTATGCTGAGAAATTTTTATTTCTGGTCTGGCCATATCAGATAAGTAAGGCCTAGCAGATCTAGACATGGACATCCCAACACAGATAAGCATTCTCCTGAAAGGAGAATGAACCCCAAAGTGTTTGCAGGAAGTAGGCTCATTTAAGAGTTTGGGTTATCCCCTACTTTTCATAGTAGTCACTAGTCAGCTGCCCTGAGCTTCAGCATTCAAATTCCACGTTGGCACATAACCTTCTCTGCTGCTAAGATGCTGTGCACTTTGGGGACTGTTAGTTTGCCATTACCTTGACAGTATACAATCCATTTAATCCTGGTTTACATTTACATCTATTTACCTCAGCGCTATGCAGTTCATCACCATCATTTTGGCCTGTATTGTTCTTCCATTCTACCCAGGACTGATAAAGCTTTTCCTGAGCATCAAGAAGTTTCTGATTGGCACTATTCATGTTCTTTCTGGCATACTCGATCTGAAACACAGCCAAATAAGGAAGTAAAGCAGAGTCCAAACAGTTCCATTAGGGCTACCCTACCTTAGCTGCTTTGTAGCCTCCTTTTTAAATACTTTAAAAGTTCAGTATAAAAGACTTTGGGAAATATTAAGAATGTGATCGTTCTCTTCAAGAGAAAACTGGAAGCAGTTTTCAGATGTTATGTAGTGTAACCCTCTACCTCAACTATTTCCCCCTCCCCGACTAGCATCCTACACAAGGATTTGAAAGTATATAGAAGGCCATGACTCTTTATGCACAGTTTGTCCTGTACATAAAGGTACGTTGTTAGGATAAGACTACTGAAGTTCCCAGGAATGCTCAGAGATACCCAGAGCAAAAGCAAGCCCATGAAGAATCTTACATTTTATTTTTAAAAAGGACTTAAAGGACTGAAATGTTTCTAAATTGCAAGACATTTTTAACCGAATGAAGACTGTGTCAAACCCAGTGCTCTAAAAAATGAATATAATTTTAAACATGTCACTTCTGTTTCTGCAGTGCTTAAAATTACAAGTAATTCCCGATTAGTTTACAGCTCAGCCTGTCTTAGGACCTCTCCTGAATGGTGGTGGAAAGCTCCAAACAGGAAGTGCTTTGTATTTAGAAAAGGAATTTACACCGAGCGTGCAATTCCAGTTTTCCTATGCCTCTTTTGGCTGTTTTCTGCACTCTGAAACTATGCCAATGTTTGCTTTTTATACCCAAGTGAAATCTTAGACTTACCAGATTAACAGTGTGGTGGAGCTGAGAGATGGTCTCCTGGCTTTTCTGTTTAGCATCTCTAACTTTGTTTAAGGCTTGTTGGTAGGCACGTGTGCGGACCTTTGAAGACAGGGATCCTAGTCTAACGTAGTAGCTTGGCTTTTGAACTCCAACTTCAAAACCTTCAACTTTTGCAGCTTCTTTCTCTAGATACGTAGAAAATAAGCAAATTGACCACTGGAAGAAAACTTAAGCGGTCTGAGGCTATTTTATTTGCTTAGTAATGGCTGAATACTGAACTTGTTCAGTAGTCCTTTAGCACCAGGACACATTGACAGATCACCACATGTGGAAATGCTCACTTTCACTCTGCTTTCCCATGAAGATGATGCTATTACAACCAGCAAGGCAAAGGGCAGTTTGGGAAGCACATGCCCCCTCCCCACTATGAGTAAGTAATAAATGGATGACTGCTTGCTTCTCTCCATTATAAGCATTCCCACAAAAATCAAACCTTGAATTGGTCTTACCTAGTTCTGCTTCTGTAAGTGGGAGATACTGGTCAACAAGGGTCTCCGATTTAGTGAGAGCACTGTCCACTCCACTGCTCACCATCTGCACCACACGACTTCCTAGGACAGTGTTAATGCTGCCATTGACAACTGACTTGGTCATTTCTACGCTGTCTTGCATCGCTTCTTTGGTTTTGCCCACAACTCCAGTGATTGTGTGAGCAACGGTTTCCTTGGCACCAGTCACAGTGGTTGTTACAGCTTCTCTGGCTCCAACAACTACATCCTTGGCATTGGCGACAACCTGCCAGAGGAAACAGGTTGATTCACTAGAAATGTCTTCTAGGGAGAGCTGCATAATCCAGGAAATCTAAGTTTGCACTAAAGCTTATACAAGTATTTGTTATCTAGGAGAAATTCTGCCCTGAAAACACGTGTATAAGACAATAAAATATGACTGCCACACGGCCTTCAGCTCAAAACACTTCAGTAAATGTAATTTGGACACTATTTGCTTCACACTGAGCAGGAAAGAGGTAAGGACCTAAATTTTAAGAAAGATACCCACCAGTGAACAGCACCTACAGAGGTGTCAAGTGGTGAGTAAAATGAAGGGGAAAAAAAAAAAAAAAAGAGAGAGAGGCTTAATGGCCTCGCAAAGGCAACAGACAATTCTACAGAAACACGTTTTACTTCCTCATTGCTTCTAAGCTGTGCTTCAGGCGCACATGTAGCGCCTGAAATCTGTCTCCATGTATTTTCAGTAATACTAGAAAAGAAGAAGGCTGTATAGTTCTTCTGCTTAGTATATGTACATGGAAAGAGCTTACCTTGTCAGTGGGCTGATTGAGTATAGGCAGTCTCTCTTCAATTTTGTCTAGACCTATACACGCATAGTTGTTGGCAACTACAACTATAAAAAAATAACAATAGTTAGTTTTAATTTAGTTTTTTTTTCCTGCCCTTAGTATAAATAACTCCGATTAAGAATTCCTCTTGACGGAGTGCTCATGAAACTATGCTCTTAAAGCAGTTTTCTCCCCTTTTCAGTAAGATCTGAGGCAAGAAAGCCCAAGAACAAGGCAGGTTTACAGTGCCAAAAAAACCTCACTTGCAGGCAGAGAAAATCCATTTGATGTTTTACAAGCAACTGCTAGAACAAGCTAAAGCACCTGCCGCTTTGTGAAACCAGGCTCCTGGTTACAACAGCTTTGTTTTAACCACAAGTTGTCCTCGGTGAGAGAAAGTACAAACCAGCATTTGAAACCAGGTGAAAGGGGAGGAAGGTGTTGAGCAAGCACCTATGTAACCATCTTGCATATCAGGATGAGTCAGTCAGTTTAGTATTACAAAAGCCAGAATCTGCTTTGGCTCTGGATTTTTTTTTTTTATGTTAAATCATAACCATCTGTAATCAGTTACTCAACAAGCCAGGCAACAGGTTCAGTCAGCTACCTGAAACGGCACTCCAGACCAGCACGACCACACTAAACTCTTAAGTGCATCTGGATATATAAAGCAATCAGCTGAACTAAAGTTATCAACAGCTCCATCTTTGCCTTACTTTGTGGTTCCAGTTTCTGGATGATAGGCATAGCACTTGTCATGGCTACCGAAGTAATCGTCTTCACTCCTTTCTCTGCTATCTCACATACTGACTTCAGGTAAGGGTGGTTATCCTTTGTGGTGATGTAAGCTGTGGACACCATATCATAGGTGGAGCTCACCAAGGGAAGGTTGACAACCCTTGATACAATGTTCTGTTTAAAAGAGAAAGAGGTTAGTTGCCTCCTAATTTTCTGAAGTAGACATAAAAATCTATGGGGCCAACTCAGACTTACCTGCTGAGGATCAATTGCTGCCAATGCCATTTTTTCAGGTCTTGAGTCTTACACAGCCTATGAAAGAAGCATATCTGAGTTACAGCATCCTCACATCCACTTGATCTAATCACCAGACTTTGAAACCAACAACCCTTTTGTAATCAAGCCCATTGATCAAGGGGATTAAGATATTCACAGTCTTGCACACGGGAATTACATTTCATTGTAACAATTCAGAAAACCCAAACTTTGTTTCCTAATTACATTGTTTGGTTTAGGTAAAGCAAGTAGGGTACATGCAAGGTACAGCCTTTGAGGTACAGCAGTCCACTGCAGCATTACTGAAGAGCTACTTATTAGTGCATTAATTTAATTTTTCTAGAGAAGACAGACATACTTGGGCTTATCTGTTGAGCCAGGACAAAGCAATGCCACCCAACAAGTTACTAAAATTATAATTTAGGATGTCTAACTCAGGTGAAGACTCCATCACTAATATCCTTATTCAGAATAAAGCTTCTATTAGGATAAGGGAGTCAAGTTTGAAGTTTCAGTTATCGTTGTTGTCCAGATCTTGGAAACACATGGAAGATTGAGGTGAAACACTCATTTCAGTAACCTCAGCTCAATTCTCCCAAATCATTCCAAGGAATTCATCATCTCTAGCGCCATATCTGATGTTTTTGTAGGGCTCCCCCTGCTCAGCTTCCTCAAAAGTTACTATGCCTGTAATACACAGCATAGGAATTTCCCACTGCAGCAAATAACTCTCCTTTATGCTAATTTAGACCTAATTATTATCCATCCCACACTGAAACAGACTGCAGACACCAGTCGTTCAACAAGCCCACGCTACTCAATTATTTTCCAACATGCATTCTCATGATGAAAATATTAACAGCTCTCCTCATATCAACCTTAAAAAAGGAGAGGGGTATTGCAGTACCACACAAGGAGAACACACAGAAGCGCACTGTCATCCTATGAACATAAGCAGGCTGAACTAAGTCTGCAAGAAGCACTTTTTGCATTAATGCTTTTATATGACACTGAAGTTCCAGAAGAATCTGCATAGAAAGGCCAGCTAAGAGACAGTCCTTGAAAAGACTGGTTTTCAAGGCTTTCTACTGGGCTTGTCAGAAAGCCAACAGCAATTTTTTCTCTCATACATATGACAGTACCAAAAGGAGTGTGTTAATATTCTGCCTGGGGTCAAATAAAACTTTTCCCTGTTACATAATGGGGAGCAAGGACGAAGGCGTGCTGTTAACATTTTACAGGCATATTTGCACCTATTAACACACACGTGCCATAAGGTAACGCCTGCAGTAAGATGGAACATGCACAGGTAACAGAGAAGTTTGCCTTCCATCTGCCAAGGACTGAGATACCCGCAGAAACATGTAATGTTCCTCACACAGCATTACAAGTCAGATTACTCAGAGTGCAACTGAAGTTCCCTTGAAACTGCAAAGCATGCTGCGGAACAGAAGAGGCTAACGGTGCGGCATCTGGCCTCTGAAGGAAGAAGGGCCCTTAATTCAAGGATTATTCCACAATGTGTCCCAAAAGATCCAGGCCACACACACCACAGATTTAAGTTTTAGTCACTAAAATAGGAGTTAGTCTGTGAAGCTATTCCTGCCCTTAAAGATAGGGAAGACTGCTAGGGTCTAGCAGAGTTTCAGAGAACCCTTGAATAGTTTCAGCTCTAACAAAGGTCAGATCCACCTCACCAGGGCGGGCGAGTGATTCAAAGCCCATGGTGTATGAAAACATATTCCAGAGACAGCAGAACATCCTGAACTGCAAAGTGAATGAAGTACGCCGCGAAATTTAACTTCTACTTTCCCGCATCCCCACGGAAAGAAGCCGAAGGCAGGGCGGGCCATGCAGCAGAGCCCGGCAGCTTGCCCCGGCGACCCGCAGCGCCCAGGGGAGGAAGCCGCCCCAGTTCTCAGGTGTCACCGGGGACCTCTCCGGGCACAGGGCACTACAGCGCCTCGACCGAGGGCTGACGAGCCCCCGGGGAGTTTCTGGTCCCGGGAGCGCCTCAAGCAGCCCTCCGGGACGCGGAACGGGAGGGCCGCGGGGCCCCGATGACGGAGGCAGCGAAGGCGGCCCCACGGCGAGCCACGGACGGAGCCGGACCCGCAGCCCCCGCCCGCTCCGCCGGGCTCCACCATATTGCGGAGTCACCCCCGCGGCCGAGAAGAGCCGGGCCGGGGGAGCCGCGGGAGGCCGTACGTACCCGAGGAGGGAAGAGCCGGAGCCGGAGCTCGACACCAAACCGCTGCCGCCGCCGCCGCTGACTGGGGAGGCCCGGCCTCGCGCCGCTGTTTATGGGGAGCGGCCGCCGCCGGCCGCGCGCCGCCCGCTCTCTCGCGAGAG